TTCTTGCTTCTTTCAAGATAATTCTCACAGGTTCCTATGAAGGGAATTAGTCACATGAACACGTAGAAACTCATTTAACGGCGGTGGGTCAGACGGTGGTACTGATACGTACGAAAATTCACATCCATTCAGCGAGCATTGAATCTAAAAATTCGGATCACTTGCATGGACTATTCGTATATGAGTCATAAGAAGCTCCTCAGAAGGTGCACAGTATGCTTCAGCGCAGTAGGGGCACGGGAAAGCCATGGCTGGATTACTCCAAATAACGCCATCCGCAATTTCCCTCCTCCCCCCTTGCACCGACCCCTGCCAATCACGTTTCGCGCCAAATCCCGTAAACGCGCATTTCCCGGACGGAAACGATTTCTTCCTCCCGACATGGCACGAAGGTTTGACGGGCTCTCACCGACCACTCTACGTCTGCGTCTCAAGGAGGAAATTCCCTCTCTCTCTCGGAGAGCATCCTCGACAACATCTTTGAGCACAAGATTGATGGGGAAGTGTTTTTGAGTCTAAATGATGAAAATCTGCGCGAAATAGCTCCACTCCTTGGCGACCGTTTGAAAATCAAGCGATTGATATCGGAAACACTTGTGAAACTGGACACTGTAAGTGGGTGGGTGTTACCGGTGTACCTACGTACCGATCCGTTCTTTACCCAGCCTCCTAGCAGCACATCACCTAATACCCCCTCAACTGTTGTAAGTGAGAAGCATACTTCTACACCATCCGTTTCACGGACATGGATGTGTCCACGTCGTTCCCTGACTGATACTACCTCCGCAGATTCGTAAGTGGATGTCAGTTCATGCAATGTTACTGTGACAATTATGCTGTAGAGTTGATGACTCTCCAACTCCTACTCCTCCATCAACCCTATCGTCTGCTGTATTGTCTACAGATTCGTAAGTCCATTCGTGCAACGTGTGCATGATTATCTTTGGGCATGGACAACAGTGCCTTCAGCCAGTGCGCTCGGCTTTGTCGGCTCTGCCTTCAGCCAGTGCCCTCGGCTTTGTCGGCTCTGCCTTCAGCCAGTGCGCTCGGCTTTGTCGGCTCTGCCTTCAGCCAGTGCCCTCGGCTTTGTCGGCTCTGCCTTCAGCCAGTGCGCTCGGCTTTGTCGGCTCTGCCTTCAGCCAGTGCGCTCGGCTTTGTCGGCTCTGCCTTCAGCCAGTGCACTCGGCTTTATTATAATATTATAGTTCCCGTTCTTTGCTGGAGTTTTTTTACTTCGTATATGTTTTGTATATTTAGGGAAGATGATGATTCTCTTCCTGAAAGGTATTAACCCATTTCAAGTATTGCCTGGCATACTAAAATGTGTTTGCATTGTGCAGGTGTAATAAAGATGTTTGTGAGATTAATCATGGAGAGCCTTCCTCACCTGGGTATGAGCATGTGCACTGTATCTGCACAGTGTAGCCTGGTGTCGAATTTTAATATGCACAGTAGAGGATGTTTGTGGTAGTACTGATCATGCATGTGTTGCCGTGTGTAAAATGTTAGTACATACATGCACAGTACATCTTTTTCCAGGCTACCTAAGTTGGATTGGGCTGAAGGACTGGCACTACCAACTAGATTTTCAACCCCTACGACGAAGGCAATTGAAACAGGTGTTCTCACAAAGAGTGCCCGTGTCGAGATTGTCCATTCTGTGGCGACGTTGATGTTGATGCACACATCCCGCCCAACACCACATGATCTTGACACAGTCTCAAGGCGGCTTATCGTGAAGCATCCAAAACTACGGGACACTGTCGACAAAGGATATGTAAGTAGTACACTTGATGTTTATGCCTAACATATCTGTGTAATACGTAGGGATCTTGGAGAAGTAAACTACGCACAAAGTTTAAAAATTTGCGCCGTCCTAACCGTGCACAGAAAGCAGGTATCATAGTTCCTCCTCCATCAAAGAGAGCGAAGATTCCCAGCCCAACTCCAGCATCACCATCTGCATCTGATACTGCTGAATATGACAGGCATGTTAGCTTTCTCCAGCGGTCCTTCATGTCAAAGAAGTGGTCGTTGGCTAGCATGCTGACGGTGCTTGAGGAGACTGGGGAACTTCGCCGTACCTGGATTCGCGAGGAGAATCCATCTGTTAGCGAGATTTTTGAAAAGTTTCCTTGCCTTTCCGATTCACGAATTGTGAGTATAATGTACATGTACTAGAACTGCTGTTAATGTGTGTATTCTATGTACAGATGTTGAACGAGTTCTGTTCGCTCACTGGGGCAGAAGAGTGCAAGTTCAAGGAGAATTGGGGGAAGTATGAAAAGCTTGTGTTCAAGTATGCACCCCTCGAGCAGAAAAAATCACTCAAAAATCTTCTGCATCAGTATCATGCTGAGGAGTGTGACAATGCTGGTAGGTGTATATATAAGTTTTGTGCACTTGATCAGCTACATATCTTTTGCGCATTTTGCACCATGCAGATAGAACTGCAGCTTACACTCTGGACTTGCTCTGGGCTCTATTGTCTACTAACCGGTCGAGTGGACAGCCGCTTATTTCTATCTTTGAGGTTTGTGTAATAATTTCTTGTGCACATAATAATATACCTATACATACTGGTAGGTGGCGAGGGAGAGTGAGCCAACAACACACAAACCTACCAGCTGTAGTACAGAGAGCAGCTTATGTATTATGCATAATTATGTAGCAGCACGAAAGTATGAAGACAGAATATAAGCAGCAGTAGGTCACACCCGCATATGTTAGCACATGTAGCGCAGGCTTTTCAATGTGTGATGTGCCATTTCGCACAGTATGTGACAGTGCCTGTAGAGAAACTATGTAGGGCCACAAGCGGACAACTCGCCCTCCCTCGCCAATGTATGTAATTACTTGTGTACATTGAGACGAGACATGTATGATAGTACTATCTGCATTTGTTTGTGTAGGGGGAATCATTGGATATTGAAGAATGCATTGCCGGCCTCAACACCACAGCTCCATGCATTGCTGCATTTGGCGTTACACGTGACAATATAGCTGATGTAAAGGTTATTGTTGAAACTGATAATATTTTACCTGTCAATACTTTGTCAACCTCTATTCATGTTTGTTTTGCGTGTTATTATATCTTCAATATTTCTTTTCCTCCCTCATATAAGCACATTCTCCTTTTTTTAGAAAAGTATGTTTATGGTTTAAAATCATCGCAAAAACTTCCCATGTCTGTTGTTCTTGTACATGATGGGATGGAGAGAGTTTTGGACACTTAATTGATTTTGTACTTATCTTTGTTCACTGTCACTTATCATCCTTATTCACTTACAATTTATACACTGATCAAATATTGATTTACATGTGGAAATGATACAAAACGCGGTGCTACAGGAATCCTCGCATGGTGCGATCATGACATCATCTGGTGTGTAGGTAGCACCCCTAAAGGGTGTCACTGTATTGACACCCTTTAGGTAGGTGTCCAACTCGCACAGGAACTTGACACTCCATTTTGGTGTCATCCTGACACCCTTGTTTTTACAGTGTGGCGAGGGGGAGCGAGCCAACCTAGTCGTTCGTTCGAGTGGAACTTTCTGTATAATTGGCGAGCGGAAGCGAGCTAACCTAGTGGTCCGAACGGCGCGATTTTTCTATATAATTATAATATATATGGACCCGTACGTCGTCCAACTGCGCATGCTCCAGCATTACGGGCTTCTTTTTATCCGAAAGGGATTTCAACATTTTCATAATGCTGCCTGAATCGAGCGGAATCAGGGGAAACGCAACACCTCCGAAGCTATCGAGTATTGCTGCACAGTCCAGCGAGAGATTTTTCTACATTGCCACTTGTTCCCTATTCCTGCAAGACCAATCAGATTGCCGGATTATGCCTGATTCGCGCTGTCGTCTGACTGTTTTTGACCCGACTCGAATTGTCTACTGCGCTCGGGTCGTTTCGGCCTACTTGGTCCTGTGCAATGTATCTCACTGTTTTGTGCACACACAAGAGTGACTCATACGATTAGACCTCAATTGTAAGCGCGCTTCCGCTCGCCAAAAATGCCATGCATTCGCCTAGTAGTATACGACCGACCGTGTACGTCGTACGTCGTGTAAGTGCGCATGCGCGGCTTAGCACGCGCTTTTTTTATCCGAAATTATTTCCAAATTTTTACACATTTTTCACACACCGGTGCCTCGCCGATCGATCTAGCCTCCATTCGACGGCATGCGCTGCAGCCTTCCGTGACTGACCGAGTCAACTTGCAAATACGCTAGTATTGCTCGTGCACATGGACCATCTAACACACGCCGCGTTGTCGGGCAGCCCGATGGATGTATACGCATGTAACGGCGACAGGTAGTTCTGTCTTGCTTCACGCAAGGAGAGCTGTGCGCTGACGGCACGTTATGCAGCCCGAACATCGCGGACAAATCCCAAGTTGGGTCGGTCCCGCTCGCCAACAATGTTCAACATTCTTCTAGTATTTTACTCTTAGCACGCCCCTTGAATTTATTCAAAATTTAATCGAATCCCACGCAAGCGCGCTGTGGCGATCTTTCTTTCTGCCGACATACGCACAGCCTCTGTGCCTGCCTTTCAGCCTGCTGAGACCTTTATGACATGTCTCACTCAATCCGCACCTTCTTGTCTTTTTCACTGTACTGAAAGGGTAGATGAAAGAAACATCAAAGCTCCGACCCAGTGCCGATTGACCACTTCTGTGGATGCGTGGGTGGTTTTTACGAGATAATGCTGCCGCCGTGATGCCCGCCTACCGGGTCAAAGTTTTGCGAGTTTTGTTGACGTTTTTCTAGAAGTGGTAAGTTTTTGTGGTTATGCCACGCCCATGCCCCGGTAACAAGGCCGTTTGGTGCTGTCGTTGCCACTGTGCCTCCTTCGTGCCCTGCCCCTGCTCTGGCCTCTCCCTCTCTTCCGTCGGTCCCCTCCCGCCCGGCTCCTTCTCTCCCCTTTCTTACGAGGATCACCCGGTTCAACTGGAGTGTAGATACGTGTAGCGACCTTCGGCCACGCCCAAAATCACTCCGCGCGATTGAATTTAAGGCTACGCCCACCCATCTCCACGTAACCTCCTCTGTGTGCTGACGCGACAGGCCGATAACTCCACAGGGTGACTCGGTCATATAGTGTACCTACTACGTGCATTCTTTAGACCAGTGCTATTCGCAGCTTACTTTGCTTGCCGCCCGGATGGATCATGATCGAAATCGGACCTCGTCTAGGGCTAGGGCTAGGGCATCGACAGACTCAACCAATCGATGCAGTAATCCTAGCCCTAGACGAGGTCCGGCGCCGATCATGATCCATCCGGGCGGCAAGCAAAGTAAGGTGCAAATAGCACTGGCCTAAAGAATGCACAGACTCCAGTTATCGAGTGCGCTTGAATGTGTGGGCGTGGCCTTAAATAGTAAGCGCGCATCACATGAAGTAATTCTTGGCGTGGCCGGAAGTCGCTACGCGTCGAGTCCGTACACTCCCCCCTCCCCACTTCCCCCTTCTCTAGACGCCCTCATTAGTCTGCGCGTACGTCTACCCTCCGCCATGTTCCGAAGGGAGCTAGGGACGCTTGGGCTGGTCTTGTTGGTGATGTGTGCCATACCATATATTTCTTGGATGAAATTCTTCCTATTGGCTAGATGTCACCAGACCCCTAGAGGGGTCGTTTACATGGGCGTGATACTAGCTGGTCCAAGCATGTATCGCCAAGTGGAGGTCTGGAGGGTGGCTTTCCCTCTGGTGCGAGGTCAGGGAGGAGAATGAGCGACTTGTCCGGTATCTAAATACGTTCTGGTCTATCCCTGCCTCTTAGGAACAATCCGGTCAGCTAACGCTCGTGCTCGTCAGGCTGTCGTTCATTCTGACAGTACCATTCCTCCTGATTGTCGCTGTTTCCTCCTAGTTGACTTCTCCGATCCTTTAACTCGAAGTGTATGTTTTGTTTAGGCCCAGTCTTGTATCCCCTCCATGTCAGCCTGGCTTGAATGTTGCTACGGCATCCAGCCTCTTCTACATTTCGGTGACGACATAATTCACAGCTGTGCAGGGTCCAGCAAGGTGACCCATTGGGTCCGTTGGGTTTTTCCCTCGCCCTGCAGCCTATTCTCGAGCAGAACAATGGAGATGTTCCAGGTCTCCTCAAGAACGTCTGTATCTAGATGACGGGAATCTCTGTCTGTGGGGCTCTTGACATCCTAGAGGCCGAGGGGCCTTCTCGTGGTTTGCTGCTTAACCAGAGCAAAATCCCTTCTCATCATTTCCCATGCTTCACCTCCCTCTTCGTCTCTTCCCCAAGGTGTTCATGTCTCCGATGGTGGCTTTGTTGTTCTGGGTTGTCCTATAGGCTCTGTCTCCTTCTGCACCTCCACAGTCATGAAGTCCAACATTCAGGACACTCTCGTGAATTTGAGGGATCTCCAAGATGCCCAAAAGGAAACCGCTCTCTTGCGGTCGTCTTGCCTCCCCTTCTCTAAAATTTCTTTCACTCTCCGTACCTGTGCCCCTATATATATAACTTGCTTCATCCTGCACTTGCACAACATCATGCGGGACTGCTTGGCAGATTTCTGTGGGGGTCACATCTCTGACTGGAGCTGGTTGAGTGTCAATGCGTCTCTTTGGGTGGCCTTAATCTCTGTCAGGCCCTCCTTCACGCTCCTGCAGCTTTCATTGGCTCTCTCGCTCTTTCAAAATCCCCTCGTTGCCGACATTCTCCGCCACCTTCCTCCTGTCCCTGCTGGTCTCCCTCCCTGCCTGACCACTCTTGCCGGAGGGGCAGCTGGGCATCCTGGGTGGGTCTCTCTTCAGGTGATCAATGTCCCCCTCCGGCTACACTCCGTCTCATATTAGATTTACCAGGAATCTTTCGACCTATGTACTTCTCTCCTCCGCCCCTGACACCCGTTCTCTGGCCCTTGTCCAATGGTCTTCTCTCCCCCATGCAGGTGATTGGATGAACGCTGTTCCCTCGTCTTCCCTCGGCCTTCACTTCATGGATCATGAGTTCCGGGTTTGCCTACAATATTGGTTGGGGGTCTCGATTTTTGAAGAGGGAGTGAAATGCTGAGTTTGCCACTCAGCAGCGGTGACCATCAGGTCGGTTGATGCGGAGTGAATGGTGATAGAATCCTTAGGCACATGTGATTCTGTGTTTCATGCTGCCCGCTCTGCTGCATTGGCTCCACGAAAGGAAGTTCTTTCCCTCATCCCTGGATCCCAGAGCAGCCGTGCTGATACCCTCCTTCCAAATTGGGAATGGGATCAACCTGCTGCTATGGACGTGACCTCCCTTGAACCCCTCACCCTTCAAGGAGCTGCTTCCTCTGCTGCCCATGCCCTGTCGGTTGGGGAGCATCGAAAGATGTCAGCTCATGCCCCCTTTTGCCACGCTGTTGGGGTCTCTTTCACCCCCCTTGCTTTTGTGTGAGGCCACAACCACCTCTTTGTCCAGAATTGGTCGCCTCCTAGGCAAGCGTTTAGGGGTCTCTCCTGCGTACTCAAATCGTTCGTCCTAGTACTGCTCTGTCTCTCTCTGGCGTGGGAATGCCGTTGTTTGGCAAAATTAATTCCCTATTGGCCTCCCTCTATTGACAGCACTATTTAATTAATTTGTCTTTTTTTGTTTTTGTTTTGTTTTGTGTTTTTGTCTGTTTTGCATTCTCGGTTCCTTTTTCCTTCTATTTATTGTTTTTTCATCTCCCTACTCCCTTTTTCTTCTCTCTATTTTTGACTTATTTTTTGTGTACCTGTCATTCATTACGGCTGGGAACGAGGCTAGGACGAACGCTGCGTAAACATGCCACACTTCACGACGGTATTATACACTATCACAAACATACAAGCGTAGCTGTGCTGATAGTTTTCTTTGGAACTATTTTTAGAACTAGCTACGTTAAAAAAACTGTAGCTAGTTGCTTGGCTCTCACTGGTGAGCCCGAACGCCCCACAACTCAGACAGCGAGGTTACAGTTTAGGAGTGCAAAGCCGAGATTTACGATCACAAAACAACGTACGTAGCTAATACTCTTTAGCTAGCAACATGAACGACAACAACGTTGTTACGAGCATAAAAACGGGGCGGGATATAGATAGGTATAAAATACGCCTCACGTGAATCTACACTACGCAGTGTCGACGGGATCCACACAAAAATGAGGCCTCCAGCCTGTATAACTGTCACTACCACCCTGCTGTGCTTTATTTTGCTAGCCATCTTCTCAAGAACTGGTACGTTATTCTCTGTCATAGCTAGGTTCGCACGCCGTTGCACCCCTGAGCTACGAATTTTTGAAGGATAAGAAGCTAATGACAACATTATAGCTGTGCCATTTAGCAACTCCTAGAAATTTCGTAAAAAATGTGTCTTTTTGGGGGTACCTAGGTTATTAGCTGCGAACTATAGCTAGCTAATAATTGTTTTAAACGACCATGTCCCATAGCAATTCTAGACGGCGACCATGAAGGGAACCTTGAAGGGGCGTGACAGCAGTAACGAGTATGCTAAATCATAGATGTCCATGCTAAAAGCCTGCTTCGGCATGTGCGAGTAATCCTGCCGCCAATGCTTAGCGTCTTACCTAGGCACGCATCGAGGCACGCACAATGATGGTTTTGCCTTTGTTAAAGGCTGGTTTGTAGGGGCAGCAACACATGAACCCCGAAGCTGTACTATAAAACATGAGCTTCTACGAATTTACTTAGCAGCATTGTTGCTGAGATCATAGCATGAATTCTGGTCTTAGATCGTGGGACAGTCTTCAAACTTGATACAGGTCCAGAACTTACTGTCCCAACGACGTTGAAGGAAAACTATCACACCTACATCCGGCGCGGTTCACGATCCCGCGTCAAATATATATACGCTGCGACCACAACAGCTATAATTTAACTGCGCACAAATTCTCTGTGGTCTGCATCCGTCACAAAACCGCAACACAACACTATTAAGGTGTCAATAGTGATTATAAATTATTGTCTCAATAGATGCAGACTTCTCAGCTATACTCAGTCCAGCTAATTCAACTGTTCTCTCTGGGGAAGAAGTAACATGTGTGTGCTCATCCAACTTCAATACCGTCTTTCCTCTGTGGGAGATAAATTCAGAAGCTTATCAAATAACTAATCTTCCCTTGGGCTACGAAGCTACTGGATCAAATCTTACATTCAGGGTGTATGCAATCTGACTGTTGTTCGTTGTTCCTTTTTGATAATTGCCGACAGATTGGCAAGAGAGGTACACAGCAACATTGGCAGGGTATTCAGCAAGGCATACCTGGTAAGTTTTGTGTATTAATTCGATATCATGTTGTATGGTCCTATTGTAAAATGCAGATGTGGACCCCTTAGAGTCTCTCGAAAAGTGTGACCCCACTAACGTCACCTTTTACTTTAGTGATGAATACTTAATAATATGGGACATTGACTATTTTACCCCAGAATGCATTTTTCTCATCAGTGTATCAGCTGCTCTCTTAATGCCCGATCATGTACATTTATTGCAAACAATATCACTAGTCCACATGTGACAGTGTCTTTAAACATCTGCTTGACTCCTGATCATCCCGGAGGGGTAACAGTTAACGTTACATTTAACAACAGTCTTTGCAGAGAAGGAGATAGTTCATGTCGGTCACGACCAATGTACATTCCAGTTGTGAATAAAACAAGTAAGTATAAGTCTTGTTTTAATTATATTAGCCTGTATGTGCACACCTCCACAGAAATTGTGAAAGTGAAAACTGATGGAATTGTAGTGCGAAATTTATCCAACATGTATTGCAATGTTAACAAAAGCTTAACAAACATACAACTATGCATTGACTCGGAGGAAATATATGGATGTTTCGGGGCCTTTGAAAGTCCATATTTCGAGTTTCTGATGATGGAAATGCAATAGGTATTGAAGTGAGAAATTTAACAGAGAGTCTTAACAGAACAGTGATTTCTGTTTTCTGTCCATTTCGCCCTTGCACAAGCAATCCTTTACTTCACACTCAGATTTTAAATATAGAGTTGCTATACACCAATGGTGAGTTATATGGGTTAGAGTAGAGTGTAAAAAGACGTTATTTTTTGTTGATTACAGAGTCATGTGAAAACTGTAGCATAAAAGCTACATGTGAATGTGGAATCTGCGTGTGCAAGAATGGCTACTGGGGAGATGGGGTTATGTGTGAAGGTTATTGCTACATACAACACCTAGCAGTGCAATTTCGTAATTATATCATGTATTTGCTAGTATCAAGATGTAAGAACTGCAGCAACTTTTGCAACATGTGTAGAAAACCAATGCAAGTGTAGAGACGGCTACAGTGGAAATGGAACGTCATGCGAAGGTATAATAACCTCTCATGTAATACACTGAATACTGAATGTAATTAGGTGCTTTTAAACTTTATTTTAATAGCAAAGTGTGAAAATTGCAGTCAATATGCCACATGCAAAAATGGCAAGTGCATGTGCATGGAAGATTATGTTGGAGATGGAATTACATGTGATGAAGGTTGTTATAATTATATAATGTTTATTTTGACACCGTAAAAATTGACATTCTTAAATTTCAGAGTGCCAATGCATTATCAATGCTACGTGTGTGGGTAACGAATGTATTTGTAGTACAGAGAGCAATGGTTAGTGGTATACAAGAGATTTTGAGTCTGTGCAATGTTTAGATTTTGTTTTTGTTCTTTTTTTCAGATGTAGACTGCAATAATTGCACCAAACAAACCTGTAAAACGCAAAATTGTTCTACATGTGATGAAGGTATAATAATAATTATAAGTAGTGTTCGCAAGTGTCTTACTAGCTTGTTTTCGCATTATTTTCAGTTATAGTGGTGTGCAAAATGTGCGTCTCTGCTGAGAGTAACTCCAAGGGTAAAATCTTGAATTTGTCTCACATTGTAAAACAGGTGTTTCTTTTTCTAGACCTTCGGTGGTTAGCTTTCCTAACACTCCTAATACTATATCCATTGATGAGTGTTTTGCTATCAGGACTAATGCAGTAAGTCTGAAACTCTAATAAAATCAATTATTGACTTAATACATTTTCAGATATATAAAAGAGAGAAACCATCGTCAGTATAATGTTCATGATCAATGATGCTACTAGTGCTTCAAAGTAGGGACATATAGACTTAACAACATGGTATTTTTTGTAAACTTGTTTTTTGAGCTCGATTGGTAGCGGCTCTGTTGAACACTGGCACTGAGTCCTGTGTGTGTTTTAGTTACAATTATTAACCCTCGGTGCGCATGCGCAGGGAGGGTTACAATACTCTGGTTCGTGAGTGTTTGTCTGTGTGTGTGTGTGTCTATGGAACGCCAAATGAAACAAAAATAGTGAAAAATTATTCAAATTGTAAACGCTATCGATCGTCGTTGTGTAGTAATCGTTCGCCGTCCGTTTTCTAGCGTACGTCGCTTATTCAATACCAGTACCAGTTGTGCTGGAATACCTACCAACCATCCAGCTTTTACCTTGATAATCAAGCAAAAATACTGCCTATCCCACAACTAAATCCCTTTTTTGTGCTAACCTGTGATGCATCATGCCCATACATTTTGAATGAGACTCACAGCATTCTTCAAGCTCCAAATCAAGCACATTTCTAAAGGAAAGCTTTATCTGCAGGTAGATAGGTATGCTCCTTAGGCTGAGCTCGGAAGTCGGCACGTACGTACGTGTACGTTCCACGCCGCGTGCCATACAGATGATGACGTCACACGGCGGCGCGCACATTTCCCTGGCGGCGCGCGCTCTTGAGCCATTCTGGCACGTTTGATCGTGTGTCGTTTAGCAGGTCGCTATAATTGGCGAGCGGGAGCGAGCTAACCTAGTGGTCCTAACGGCACGATTTTTCTGACCGCGTACGTCGTGTAAGTGCGCATGCTCCAGGATTACGCGCTTCTTTTTATCCGAAATGATTTCAACATTTCACATGCTGCCTGATGTGTCGTGCGTGTGTGTAGCTAGCTCCGTACTCTCGCATCATGTCAGTGAGACTCCTGAGCAGAGACGCTCATGTGGTAGGGAACGCGCATATTCTTTACACGCTGCCTAGCTGTCATACCGATGCGAAATCTCAGCGAAAGAACTCTCGTCTATTCGCTGGCATTCGCTGCGCTCTTCAATACCTCACCGAGGCTGTATATATACACCTCTTTCCAATCTTCGTGGTTCTAAGGTTCAAGTTGTAAATAGGCTAAGATGGCTAATGCAAATACTGTCATTGTGTGCTCGCTCCCGCTCGCCAAAAATGCCATGCATTCGCCTACTAGTAATTATAGCCGTTTGGATTTCGGACGTGCACGTTACCGCGTGCGTATAATACTAAGCCCATGCGTAGGACAACTCAAGCTCGTCCGGATTCTTACCAGGCACACGTGTGTGGCCACGCCATCTGCTTTTGATGGTGTGCCTACCCGATTTCCTTCAAGCGGTACAAGCGAAGAAAGAGAAGACATTGGGCTAACTTTAATTAAGCTAACACTCACAAATCAGGATTCGTGACCTCTGTACCAGGTACACAGTGTGGCCGCACCATGTGCTTTTGCTGCCTGATTTCAATCAAGTTAGCCCAATGTCTTCTTTCTCTTCGCTTTGAGAGAAACATGTCTGGCATGTGGATATGTGCCATGCACTTACACTTGGAGTTGTTGAAAGTAAGATGGTTTCCTCAACCCAACTGTTTATTGCCGAAATATCATTTTGTAGATCAATCCAGTCCCCCTTAGAAGAAATAGGCTTATAGAGTACCAGATCATCAGCATACATAACTAGCTCACTGCAGTTGGAGAGACTCAGATGACACAGGGAGTGGACATATAGTATGAAAAGCAATGGTCCAAGCACTGAACCCTGTGGGATTCCACTAAGAGCTTGAGATGGCTGCGGCGTAGCACCGTTGACAGTCACACTTTGGGGTCTCTTTGATAGGTAACTCTGGTTGACTTCCCTGGATGGTAACCCCACTGTCGTGACGAAATAGGAAAATGTTCCTCAACGTGATCCAGTATGATTCAGTACATGTGTCTTTCAAAGATCTTGCTGATGATTGGTAGCAATGAAATAGGTCTATAGTTTGAAGGTGAGGGTCTATCCGATGAGTTCTTAGGGATTGGAACTACATTTACAAATTTCCATGTTGTAGGCACATTGATTGGTTGACATGTAGTTTCTGCAGTCTCTTTCAGCATGGGAGCATATATACCATCAGGTCCAGTAGCTTCTGCACAGTTCAAATTGTGTAATTCCATTAGTATTTCCTCCTCACATAATCGCCATCTGTTAATGGTGGGACTGACTCATTCCAGCTGTGTGGAGAAAAAAACAATTTAGAGACCCAGCTTTCAGCCACATCCATATGGGCTTCATGTTCCTCCATCAACCAACATTAGTATACCATAGCTGTCTTGTACTAGCAGCCTTGTAATATGCTTTCCAGATATCTTTGAATCATAAGTGTCAATAGCTCAGTTTTGCAAGACATACCTCTGTCGTTACCATGTTTCTAAACTTTCGATACCGAGTCCAGTCAGAGCGATGGTTGGTGCGTTTAGCTCGTCGGAAGTAACCGTTCCTTTTTCAATGAGTGTAGCTAACCACTCTCCCTGAAAACCATGGTGATTTTTGAATTTTTCTAAGCTATCTCCTTGGAATACACACGACATGATGTACAAGAACTGCTCCCTCCAGTACACAACACTTTTACTCACATCACTGCAGAGTAAGTGCATTCCAGTTCGTTGCAGAAATGAGATATTTTGCCTTCTTCTTGAAGTCAGCCTTGTTATACATCCACACTGTTCTACTCACTATATACAAAATGTTTCCATTCCCTTCAAGCAATGAAAAGCACTTGAAAGTGCATACCTCGCCACTTTATTCCAATCACTTTGTCGACATTCTTTGCACATGCGTGTTCAATCAGTTACTACTACAGCAAAGTGAGAAGCACTTGACAGTACATAACCCTCAACACTTTATTTCAGCAGCCAATGGCTATATAATTCAGTGACTCCTTCACTGAACGGATTCACTGGGGCGTGTGGGGCGTGTGCTGCTCTCACTTCACCGGCAACCTCGATCCTACTCAACTGTACCATCAATACAGGCAGACCAGCAAATCTTCACCACACGCGCAAGCATCTAGCATCTAAGTAAAGCGATCGTCCGCGATCTCTATTTACGCACACTCACCTCGCAGCCGTCCGTTTCACTAGCTTCCCCCGGCATTCTCCGCTCCAGAATCTTATTTTACCACGCATGCCACATACTTCGTAATATGTCCACGTTTCACGCTCAGAGTTCCGCGGTTACCGACAAAAACGGAGGACAGACGGACGGACGGACACACACACACACACACACACACCACAGACCGACTGCAATAACCCTCGCTGCGCATGCGCGCAGGCGAGGGTTAATACGCATGGTCAGACATTTCAAGACTGCTGATAGTCTCACGGAGTACTTTGCAGACGACTCAGATATCATAGCTAGGTCAATAAAATGAAAACCCTCGGCGAACTGCGCCCGCGCGGTATCACTAATTGATGGGCTGGGCTTTGTATGTCTTTACTCGTGGTATCCCGCTAGTAGCTCGCGGAGAGTCTGACACGGGCTAGGTATAGTAGTAGATAGCATGAGGGAGTCGATACATGCCCTTCGTGTGACTTCTTGTGCCTGCAAGATACACAGAGCGAGCGGACGCGGTCGAGGTAAGCCTGCGCTAATTTGCATATTGGCTTGTTCACTTGTTTTTCACGCCATAACTTTTGAACGCAGCAGTTTATACGAAAATCGCCTTAAAAATGAAGCCAGTGTAGCGATGAACCTGTTGGTATCGCTATTTTGTTATCTCGGTTGCGCGTAGTCGCAGAAAACGTGGTAACAGACGGACAGACACACTTATGACCAAGTACTATAACCCTCTAGCGCATGCGCGCCGAGGGTTAATAAGAGAACAATGTCCATTATGTGCAATATGAGTTGGCGACCTGTGTAGAGAGAAAAGCTGCACAATATGTTACATATATTGGTAGGAATGCAGGTGTTTATTGTGTCATAACAATCCAGGTAAAATCCCAATCATTAAAAAATTTGAGAAAGAAAACGGGTTTGTGGAAAATATGGTATGACAACAAAAACAGATACAGGAGTAGATGGTGGACGATAAAAAGACTTATGCAGTAATTGGACTGTAAACTGATTGACTGACAAGGCCACTTAAGCTCGTAGCATCTCCTGCCACGTACTCATAGTTTACAAACAATCAACAGATACCAGGTCGTATAGACTGTCTGGTCTGTATGTTGTTGACATAAACAATAGCTTGTAGCTCTCATCAAATTTTTGGCTTCTGCATGATAGAGGTAAACCACCTGTCGACACTGTTCAATTTTGTAATTGTCTCTACAATTGTGTAGAGCTTTCTTGCCCTCCATCCAGGAATGTGTGAAACATTTACACTGAGAAGCTCTATTCCCTCTCCCCTCCGTGGAGAGAGACTGCTTGTAAAGGGAGAAGTACCATCATCACTGAAGTCCAGTAGCCAAGGGGTACAGAGGTGAATGCGCGCACAGATTGCATCTGGAGTAAGACTTCAGTGGGTGCAGAACAACATGAACTCTGAGTCGGAACAGAGATAACTCCCTAGTTTTCTTGGTGGCATGTGTAGACAACAGTTCTAGCTTCCAAGATGTTTGACTGAATTGTTCTGATTTTCAGATCTGAAGGACATCTTCGGTGGCCCACAATGCACAAACCATCATCTCACTGCTTTCCTGCTAGGTTTTCAATTACTTTGTATTTACGTTTCACATTAACATTATGAGCTTGTACTCTTGTGAGGCTGATGATTCTGACTGCCATAGTGGTTGTACGCATTAGGCTGTAAGTTGGGGCACCACTGATGAAGTTAAATTGTACAATGAGCAGGAGAGTGTCTTAAGCATGTCGTTACTACATTCCCGACATAAAGCCAAACCAACATGGAGGCCAGTGTGGAAGCTCTCATAAGTTCACTGTCAACTTGCTAAAAGGCTGGAAAAAGCTCATTGCCCAACCTCCAGAACAACAATCACTTTTGGGGTGAATATATTCTTTCCTCAATTGCACACCTCTTGATTCTTGTGCCCCATATTCCCATCAAAAATATTCATCTAGCAAACATCTATACACCTGGTAAGTAGCTGCATTTAGTTATAACAGTAAATTAAAATCCTGTGACATTAAAAAAAGAGGCGTATAGGGATGTATAAAAAAAGAGAACAAGATAGGGATGGGAAACATGAAGCACGGTAATGACAGATTTGAACACGCTGACACCCCCAACCCCATCACACAAATCCCTATATTGTTGCCTGCACGTAAACTCCCACTTGTATGTTGCTATTCATTATATAGTAGCATGACTTTTTTGGTTTTTTCAAGCTGTAGGTGACTATGTGTAATGTTTAATGTTTAATACTGCACCTCATCTAGCAACAATATAGGGATTGTGCGTGCTCAAATCTGTTCATTAACCATGCTCATGTATCCCATCCCTATCTCGTTCCCTTGCTTTTGTACCATCCCTATATGACTCTTTTTTAAATTCACAGCATAATACTGGTTGTATATAACTAAATCCGATCTACTCACCAGTGTATAGATGTTGGTGCAGTTTTGAATTCATTTTCAGTGGTCTATACACTTCCTGTGTGTGTATCATAGAGAGTCGGTAGACTCTCTATATAGGGATGACACGAGTGAAATCTCACGTGATCCGCGTACAAAACGACTAAAACTCGGTGAGAATCACTCCATGGCCTTCAAACAAACTAGCAATAGTCTACGGCCCATATCTACCTAGGCATGTCCCCCAAGATCTCATACGCACCTTCAGTCGTCCATGCGAGAATTCGCTCATACGCGATTTCGCGATTTTCGTGTCATCATCATCATATATTCTTCCATCTACTTCTTCTTCAGACCCGCTAGCTCCTTACCGTGAAGCACTTGAAGCGTTGATTTTTTCACAGAACGTCTCGAATTTGCCGGAGGTGTGCACGCATATCAAGCGATCGTTTGTTTCTTGCCGCCAGTCATACGGTAGATCGTTGAGCTCTTCCTCGGTAGTCACTGAACAACGCATTTGCTGCTTAACTCGAATCAGTGAGCCGCAATGCGCCGAGGAGGGAGTTTCCAATGCGGTGCGCGCGCATTTGTCTCGTAAACTGGTCTCACGAACATGACTAAGCCAGGACTGGATGCCTGACAGAGAAAACTAGCTACTCTCGTGCTTCTTAGTCAGGAATCCATTCATAAATACTGTACTCACTAATTGATGGCCAACTTATTGCTGTGTCTCGTAACCTGTCCAACGAACGTGGACTAAGCCAGGACTGGATGCCTGCAGAGAAAACTAGTACTCTCGTGCCTTCTGTAAGTCATGAATGTCATTCATAACTCTGTACTCATTATAATTGATGGCCAACTATTGCTGTTGGGGGGTACAAAGAAAAAACACACAAAAAAGCCATAGCTACACTACCGAAAAATAAATGGAGATGAAGCATATTATCCTCCCATGAAAAAATGCTCATTCATTTCAATGCACTGCAAGTGCAAACCCTCGGCGCACTGTTACGCGCACGCGTAAGTAAAACGCATGCCCGTACCACTAATTATGGGCTGGGGGTTTGTTTTAGCTGTTACTCGTGGTCTCTTGCCAGCTCGCGCAGGGTCTGACGCCGGCTAACTACACTACTAGATAGCATGCGAGAGGCGATACCACGCCCTGCGTGCATCTTCTGGTGCCTCCGAGGTACGCAGAGCACGCGGATCGACCATGCCGTAGTAAGCCGTTGTGTTATTTGCATATTGGCTTTTTCGCGCTCTAGCTTTGCAACGGAGCGTTTTCAGCGAAAATCGTTCGAAAGTTCTGACCTTCATTGCCCGTTCAGTAGGTGGTATCCTTTGTGAGACGTTCGAAAACTCGAGAAGTGAGATGACGAGTAACAGACAGACACAGACAGACGACAGACAGACACACAGACACACAAACCCAACTACAGTACCCTCGCTGCGCATGCGCGCCGAGGGTTAAAAAGCAATCACTCTCCGTGCATCTGACGGCAATACTTGTTGTGATTGGATGGAATGATGGTTTTCATGTTAGGAAATATTTGAAGTGAGATGTAAAACTTGGTATCAGGTTACAAAATTGAGAGTACAAATTTCACCAGCAGACCATCTGCCACAATATGTGGGGACAAAATACACGTGATAAATAGAGACAAGAAAGGTAAAGGTTACTCGTACTTTCTTCACGCTCCACCATCCAGTGACAAACCAATCACACCAGAGCAAACACCACACATTGAAGAACTACGACCTTTCCCCCCTCTACAAGTTACAAAAGCAATAGCTGCCACTCTCCATGGACAGCTAATAGTTTTTAGTGGTGATAAAGAAATTCACCAGCCAGTAAATGAATATTGGGAGATTATTGGTTCCAAGTCTAGTTGTGGAAACACATGTCTAGCTGTAAGTTCAAAAGATAAAGTGCTTCTTATTAGTAAAGAAACTATGGAAGAAGTTACAGGAAATTTGCCGAGTCCCTGAAGCTCCTATCTGGATCTTTAACTCATTATAGCTACATAAACTTTTCTCATTGCTGCAACTATTTTACCACAAAAATGAGGACTAAGGACTATAATAGTGCTGATGCGCAGTGCGATGTTCTCTGCGTTAAAGTAGGTTTATGTAAGCAGTGACAGCAGTGTTGATGGGAGAGCACTGCTCATCTCATCGTTGCACACTGAAACGATGGGGAGTGCATTGAGCAACCTACTTCACTTGCTATCTAGAGAGCACAGTCATGTTTTGTGAACAAGATTCAATGTCTGCGATGGGCTATTGCACACCGTGCAGTGTTCCCAAGTTTGGTGGTAGCTATCAGGTGTCATGCTGTTTCGCCTGAAACTTGTGAATAGTGACGTTGGTGTATGATAATAGTTCACGATGACTAATCTACACACATAACAATAGACTGGTATGGTGGAGGAATGTGGTCTCAGTATGTGGAGGGTCATCCCAGTCGGTAACGTAAACATCACCGCAATAACTTATACTATATAATATTTTTGCGCAAGGTTACGGCGCATGCGCAAACACACACCCATTGTATAAACGCGGCGACGCGATGCGCAAGGAGGGTTGTACAGTGTGTATGTGCGCCTGGTCGTGTGGGGACGTATATGACGGTGATGGAGGCTACCTGGCTGGTCAGCTGAGCTACTTAGACAGCCCTGCCTAGACGACAAACAGGGGCGTCGGTTGGTAGTTGATGTCACATGCAGGATGGGTTAGCCCCCTGGTTCGCGTTACCGACAGATCTGAGTGTGTCTCACGTAGACCTGCCTGGTCGCCCACAATCCTGACTATGATGGGGCGAGGTATATACTGGCTGATCTGATACACTTAGCAGCCATGCATATCTGCAAACGTTGGGTCCTGGATGTCATGGCAGAAGGAGCCCCTTGGTCACTTTGCGAGCGGACCTGTGGACTGTCAATGCGCTCTCTTAGGTTCCATTGTGCTAGTGTTTTGGTGTTCTTTGTTTTTTGTACTTCCGGTACCAGGGCCAGGAATTCATTACTTGGTAGGACATTTGGCGAGCACCCACATGACGTTGGATCTGCACGAGCATCCTAGCATATGCAACCCCTGGCACCTGACTGCGCTTCACTCAGACATCTTTAGACAATGACATTACAAGGAGAGAACATACACACTTACAGACAGATACTTTTGGCACCATCATTCCGGGCACAATCTATATAATTATACCTTGGGCACGATCATTCCGGGCACCTTCTTTACCTTAGGCACCATTCCAGGAACCAGTTTTTCCTGGGGCACCATCATTCCCGGCACAATACCTTGTGCACCATCTTTACTTTCGGAACTATCATTCCGGTAACATCTATACCTTGGCACCATCATTCCGGGCACCATCGTTATATACCTTTGGCACCATTCCTGGAACCATCTTTACTTTGGGCACCATCAATCCAGGCACCATCTTTTACCTTTGGACCGTAGGGACAATCACTGCCGGAACAATCATTACCTTGGGTGCCATCTCTAGTTTCGGCTCCATCATTCCGGGCACAATCTATACCTTAGGCACCATCCCAAATGCAAGAAGACAAATTTACAGCATAGTAGCTCATAATACAAGGGTCTGGAGTGGTAGCTAAAATGTTGCTCTAGATGAACTCCTTCTCTTCTTCCTCTTTCTCATCCTCATTGTTCCTCCTTCCTTCCTCCCCTCCTTCTACCTCTCCCCCTCCTCCTTCTCCTCCATCAGTGAAGGGGTTGAACCCAAACTGCAGGTAGCCAGCTTCACACTCAATGAACTTTGAAAGAGTAGAGCAGATTTCTTTGAAAGTTGGTCTGTCCCTTGGTTCCATCTGCCAGCATTGCCCCATGATCCCAAAGCTGCACAATATTAGTACAAGAAGCAAATACAGTGTAATGTTATTATCATTCTCCAGTCCAATACAGGCAGGATACACTGACAGAGTATAGCCCATTGTACGTGTAGAAGAAAGTGGTACAGACATTAGCTCACATTTCCTCACTGCAGGCAGCATTGTATGGCTGCGGCATTCGGTAGCCTTGCTCTAAACTCTGCATGAGAGTGAGGTGATCAGTAGCAGGATATGGAGCCTTCCCTCCACTGAATACCTCCCACATTGTCACTCCATAGGACCACTGCCAACAGAGAACGGAGAGAGGAAAGTCAGTAGTGTAGAGACTAGAAAATCTAAGCCTAAACAAATATAGCACACTTCATTAACTATACCTACTGAGTAGGGTTTACAGCTATATAGCTACCAGAATAGCTGCACAATTACTAGGTACTATACATAGTTATCCACATACCACATCACTCTTCTCAGAGAAATGTCTGTCATTGAGGCTCTCAGGAGCCATCCACTTGACGGGCAACTTCACCACCTCCCCGCTCCCACTGTCCTGTCTGAAGTAGTTCCTCTCAAACACATCCTCCGACAGACCAAAGTCGGTGATCTTGATCTGGAAATGGGTGTCAATCCTACAACAAAACATAGTCATGGTTCACTCTGTGAACTCTGTTGACAAGTTACTTTTTTTAACACCTCTCATAAAACAAGAGGTTATACATTTTAAGCGTTTTGTGCACGGATTATGTGAGATTTGACCTGTGCCATCCATCTTATGTTAGAGATAGTCTACCGATACTCCAATACCTTAGCAAGAGGATAATGCAAGAGGTTGTTCACCCTAGGACTCACATGCAGTTCCTGGCAGCCAGATCTCGGTGGATGTACTTGTTACTGGCCAGGTACTCCATCCCACTGGCTATCTGCAAACACATGACCATCAGTCGCTTACGAACCTCCTTCACCTACAAAACGTATTGTTGGTGGTAGCCAACACTTCTCCAACCTAAAAAAATTACTGAAAAACTTTACCTCATCTTCATCAGTTTCCTTTAAAAGGACGACATTCTTTCTCTCTCTCTTGAGATACTTCAGAAGGCTTCCGTTGGCCATGTAAGGCATGATAATGAAGGGGGCAGAGCCAGTATCGAGACAGACTCCAATGAGACCCATCACATGAGCATGTTTGAACCGACTCATCTTCAAACTCTCCTCCACAAACCTCTCTACATCCTCCTGGTCAAAGTTACCTGCAGTGAGATATTGTGAGGATTGCTGGAGCTTTTCCAATTGTAAAGAAATCTTGTTGCACTATTTAAGGAAACATTGTTACTCAAATGGTCACTGGGCTCTATTGTTTAGTTTAATCATTTCATTCTGTACACTGTCAAGTTACTAAGATCACCTTTTAGAGTTTTTACAGCCATTTGTCTTTTAGAAAGCCCAATTCTGGCCCTGTAGACTATACCAAATTCACCTGTGTATGGGGAATAAGTAACTTCAAATGCAGTGAACCAACAGAGCACACACACACACACACACCTTCTCCAATACTGTCTAGTAAAACAACATCTTCACTTTTGATGAGAAAGTGTCCCCTGGAGAGCTCTCTCATGTGGCAGCTGGGGATCCTTGCTCCACTCCTTGATGCTTGGTGTGGGCTCAGGAGATCTTTAGCTGCCCTCATTGAGACTGGCTGACCTATATTGATGAGGTATACCAACCAATGTCTTGTGTGGATGAAGGAGATGAGGGACACCTTGGTGACATGTGAAAGTATCCTTTTTTGAGAGGCGTCCTTCATTCTGATTTAGTGTGGTCAATGGCCCAAGTGCTATGGCAGCCACCTGAGTATTATTTATTTGTAAATATATACTCTAATGTCTAAAATGCTATTCTTTGATTCTCATGCAGGTCCCAATAATCCTCAAGAAATATACCCAAAATGCTATTGACCAAAAATTCTGTCTCCTTTTTGCTAGCAGTTGCGTTTTATTGAGCCTCGTCATCAACAGTTGCAAAGTGCGTGCCCACTGGTTGTGTGCTACCCTCTCACGCCATTTTGCATGCCATGTGGGATAGTAGGAGGTCAACACGCAAGCTGGCCCGGCTGGCGGCGGCACGTGGGGGCACGTGTAACAGCATTGGCAGTGCACGCAGATTGGAATATGCTCACCACACCATGCGGGGGTACAGGATGTCTGGATAACGCCATAGAATGCTCGAAATGATCCCAGTAGATGTCTATAGTGCCAGCATTATTCTTATGCATGCCTACAATTCCCAAAGTTATGCCAGCATAATTTGCCAAAGCCTAATTGTCATGGAGATGAACAAACTCTCCCTAATAGAGAGGCGTCCTTTATACAGAGGGTCCTTTTGTCAAAGGTTTACAGTACTGAAGAACTCACTGTAAGTGTTATCGCTAGCTCTCAGGGCCTCTCCTTTCTCAGCTGGCTCTACCTCACGGCTTCCGGTTGTTTCAGTATTATGAGATGCCTCGATTGGAGCATCATACCCAGGTCTGAAATATATCAAATACAGAAATCATTCATATATGGTTCATTACTACAAACTTAGATACATAGAAAAATACACCCTTTTCTGCAGAATGATTATGTAATGTGTGATGATACAAAAACTGCTATGAAAGTGCAAGATCCTGGCATTTAGTAGCACACACTACACGAGAGTGTGTGGAAACTAGTGAATGAAAACTCTCTGCCCACTCCTGAATACAATAATGAATAAAATTAATGTTAGGGTAAAAAACTTTGGTCATGCAATGCTACTTGGAACGTAACTTTCAACAAGTACAATGAACTATACTCCGCAGAAACTGTGGCCCGAAAGTCTCATGGAACAAGGCGAAACAACGTTTGCAGGAACCAGCGCTGGATCCAGGGGGTTCCTTGGGTTCGTGCGGAATCCCTATTTTTGTCTTTTTGTGTGCATGCATCGCCGGCCTCATGCGCATGCACAAGCCCCACCTTTCAAAATCCTAGATCCACCGCTGGGAACAGCTCATAAATGGTTTGCGCAGTACAATACTTTTTCTCATTTGCCCTCAGATAATTGAATATACACTCACACAGCAAGAATGTCAAGCTGCATTCTCTCCATCTGCCTCTTCTTACTTCTCCTGGACAAAACCAGCTTTAGGAGAATGACACCAACAACAACCATCACCACCACTACAATGAATATGGGAACTCCACTTGCTATTCCAGCAATGGCTCCATTGCCTCTTTCTTGTGAGAGTGATGTCTTCTCTGACAATGTGCCTGTAGAAATATTTTTATTGAAGCTCACAGGGAGAAAACAATGGAGGACAGAGAGAGGGGGGAGAGAGAGGGGGAGAGGGAGAGAGGGAGAGAGAGATAGATGGGGAGAGAGGGAGAGGGGAGAGGGGGCTAGCTATAGTGACAGATAGAGAGAAAGAGAGATGACATACCTAGCCCAGCTCCAGTGCAGCAGTTTGGGACTGGAAACAGGAGCCTTGAAGTATCATTGCAGTCGGGTATCGGATCTACAGTCTTAAAGGCCAACATAACCGCATCCCATGTTGTCTGGCAATTTTGCAGCACCATCTCACACTCTGTTTGACAGATCGAGGAGGGAGGGACAGGGTGGGTTGCATTACCACAGGGAGGGAGATAGAAATTGCAGAGAACTCTGAACACTTGGTCGACACAGGAATCAGTGTGATCAGCAATTAATCTCTCCACATCCTTGATACTCTCATTGAGTAGTTGAGCAATGGTGCTCTGGTCTCCCAGCCTTGACCTGGCATACACGCTGTCAATCCCACGTCTCACCACACCTTCACATACAGCAGTTTCCCACTTGTATACTGAACACTCTCCATAGCTGAGAAAATTGTATTGCAATAACTGTTGATTATAATAGCCTAACACTAGTGCAGAAATCTTTGTAGTTTCTAAGTGCAACTGCTAATGTTATGCTACATGCTATGAGAAGCTATTAATGAAGAAACTTGGAATTTTCTTCCACACCTTGGTTAGCACTACTTTTGTCAGGTTGATTCGGTATAGCTATCCGCAAACCACAATAATCCGACAGACAGGAAGAAATATATGATATAGTATTATTCCCTCTGTTAAACGAACAAAGAGGTTTTTTCAATACCTCTTATAAACATCACTCAATAACACACTGTCGTTCCGGGTACATTTCGGCTCATCTGGAAAAGGTATTATACATTCAACACAAACTATGACGTGGAATGATGGCACATTCTACTCTCTATGCAAGATATTTCCTATACTGCTACTGGACATATATACTCTGTCGGATAACAATTGAAAAGGGAGTAAGCTAGAAGTACAATTTTATGGCTTAATTTTACACTCGGCATAATATTATTAGCATGCTTATACTTGGAAGCTTAATGTCGGTCAAAGAGCCTTTGGGCATACCAGCATAAACACGATTATAACACTGTCATTCGAGAACCTATATTTCCCTGTTGCACCTGTGCTGAGAACATAGCTGTAAAATAGTTAATAGTTACTATCAAAAGAGTAGTGGAAACACTTTTCATAGTGCAAGCAGAGCCCAAATCCTCAACCATCTTTTCTTACTCGAGCTTTTTCCACATGAAATAGCTGCTCTGCTGCAGCCTCCTCCAGCTAGTGGCATGATGTCAGGTATACACTCATTCAAGTATTTCTCAGAGCCTCTACATGTCACCTGACCCAGAAACACTAGAGAATCCTCAACGCCTTTGAGGTCCATCAATTATTACTGCATCTAAGTATGGAGTATTGATGCTTGAGAGTGAAGTAAAGCAAAAGAACACACTTTCAGGGTCAGAACTGAGCTGCCTGCACGCAACTCTAGCACCATTGATATCCCAAGGACGGCTGCAGAGACCTCCCCATCTTCTGCCGTGGCAAAATTCCACATATCCAGTAGATGATTGGGACCCTCCTCGTAGTCTCACACCTCCATTCTCACAGCCTACCAGATCATCTATAAAAACAAACACATAACCAAACCTATCATTGAATCTGAGGAACAGAGGCATGCAGATTAAAATAGTACTTTACATAACTCGGTGATGAAAGCTATCTGTTACAGCGTTTACGTGCATATGTTGGTTAATACAAGTGGAAAAATTTGCAATCAGAAAACCCTAAGCGAGATGGAATCTAAAACATTCTATGCTTCCATAGTCACTTGGATAAGATGCTCATCATTGAAAAGAAGCAGAAACACTGTACTAAATTAGTTTTCACGTCTCCCTGTTTCGGCTACACAGCGTTCCACCTCTATCTCTGATGGAGGCCACAGTTGTGTAGTGGTAGCTAGTGATTAATAGCCCAGTGGCTAACACCTTTTTAAAGGTTGCCCATACAGGAGCTCATTAGGTTGTGGCTTCTGTCTGTATCAACAGTCCTATTACAACAGTCATATGAGGTAACTGGACTATAATTGTCTAGTGATACAGTAAGAAAACAAACAGGCTCAGTATGTATAGCTATGTAATTTCTCAGCAGTCAATTGAGGAATTAGACTGAATAAACTGGCTCAGCACTGATGGTTGTTTGCTACATGTACACAAATAGGAGTGCTCTACATAATGTATTCATCTAAGCATGGAAGAGTTTTATAATATATATAAGTCAGATTGCTGTGTGTAAATTCTAACAGCTTAGAGACTTAAGCCACGGGCATATATATTATATTCCCAGAGCCTCCATAAGTCAATAAGAATTTATATATGGCTATAATACTATGCGTTAAAATGTTTAAGGAGATACCCATGGCGTCCAAAGGGTTAATTTATGTTTTAGGGGATACACACAATCAGAGTGTGCGGGGATGCCCAAGTTTTTTTCAAGATTATGTTTGGCTTTTGTCCATGTGTGCATGAGCTGTTGGTATTGTGTGAGGGTAGGATCACGGCGAGTGGGCGGTCTGAACATTTTCTCTCTTTCAGCTATCGTGCAATACATAATCTCTCTCGTTTAGAATAATGTGGGTTCACAGAACATGCAGTTGCCCGTCGTGCTGTGCTGTACGCATCACCCACTGAAGATAGATATGGGTATTCTTACACACGGCAATGCTGCATGGCCTGACAGGGCAACACTGCATGGCATGTCATGGCAAAGCAATATGATTCATTGTGAACATTTTGAAAGCTATGTGGAGTGTATATATACAAGTGGAAAAATCATTTCTTCAAAATGAAAGGGGTATAGAGGGATGCTTGAACAACCAAAAGGAAGAACAAGGGGTCATTACACAGCAAGTTGCACAAAGCTACATGACACCACTCCTATATCTTTTGTTCGATATTAACCCTTAGCAGCCACGCATGTATAGCCAGAGCCTCCATAAGTCCATAAGAATGTATTATATGCTATAATACTGGCGTTAATATTATACATCAATTCTGCTTATTAAGGAGATACCTATGGTGTCAAAGGGTTAAACTTTGCTATACAACTAAAACAAAGATATAGGGATGGTGTCATGTAGCTTTGTGCAACTTTGCTGTGTAATGACCCCTTTTTCTTCCTTTTTGGTGCTCAAGCCATCCCTATACCCTCTTTGAGAAAATGTATTTCCACTTGTTTCCACTAATAACAGCTCGAACAACACTCTACATTATGTAATTGGCACTGCAGATGTTCATGGGGTAGTGTAGATAGCTACCATCAGAAAATGTAACTGCGACAGTAGTGGCGTAATGTGCCTGAAGCAGGCTAGTATATCAGGCATACACACCTGCAGTGGTAGTGTCTTCAACAAGGACTTAATCAGATTATTGCACAATGTTGTGGTTTCCCATGGCAGGTCTTTGGTAAATGCAGGCTGCACCTGACAGAGCGATGCAGGCCCGTCTGACTGAGGCCTCGCAGGCTTCGCTAACGCCAGCGTAGACTTTGGCCTGGCAAGTTGGGTGCTCCCTGTGTGCCAAATCAACATGCACAGCTAGCCAGTTGGAAATGTGCACACTTAACTGCTAGAAGGCTTACTGGAGGTTGAGAGTATTCTTCTCTGCATGGTCATGGCCACGTCGCGCTGCGCTAATACGCCGTCGCAGCGCATTGGACAAACAGACGCCCTCCTGCCTCGCGCATGCGCGAGGCTCACCGATGCTGAGTAGCAGCAAATGGCGTTGTTCAGTGTCGACCCATTGGAAGAGCTCCCATGATCTACCGTAGTGACTAGCGGCAAGAGAACGATCGCTTGATGTCCGTGCACACCTCCGGCGAAATTGGAGACCTTCATTGAAAGAATCAGTGCTTAACTGGTACGGACGGAGATAGCGCGTTTAAAGAAGAAAGAAGAAGAAGAAGAAGACAGAAGAAGTGAGAGAATATGATGACACGAAAATCGTGAAATCGCGTATGAGCGAATTCTCGCGTGGACGACTGAAGGTGCGTATGAGGTCTTGGGGACATGTATAGTAGATATGGGCCTGTAGACTAATGCTAGTGTATGTTTGAAGGCCTATGGGAAGTGATCTCGACCGAGTTTTTAGTTCGTTTTGTACACGCGGATCACGTGAGATTTCACCCGTGTCATCCCTATATAGAGAGTCTACCGACTCTCTAATAGAGCATATTGCTATTATACAGTGAAATACTTGTTTGTGAGTATAGCTAAATCATTTCTTGCTAGCAGGAACAAGGGCGCCAGCAAATCAAGTTCATACACCATTAATTAGCACAGACTTACGAAAATCACGTTTGTTCGGATAACTAAGTTAGCTTGTCCTCTATTGCTAATTATAGCCACTATGTACAATTACCACAGTCAGGGATATCACAATCAACTTCCACAGAAGTTAAAAGAACTTACCGCTGCAAATAACTCCAGCTTCTTCAAATCTTACAAAACAATTATGAACCCCAATCCCTTCGTGGCCACAATCACTCAGCATATTTTCATTTCCTCTACATTCCACGTCATCCAGATGATAGAATAGTATGGAATCATTCATACGCACAGGATGACTTTGTAGTGGAAAAGATACTGGTTTATATGACAAAGCAAGGCAAGTCAAGTCACAGAGTGAAAAGAGGGGTAGCTAGCTACAATGCTAAACTCACTTCCGTTGTAGCCCAGTTGTCGACACACTACTCTGGCATCTCTGACATCCCACAAGTCATCACATACTGAGCCCCACACTCCACTCAGACATATCTCCACTCTTCCATCATCAGGAGTCACTCCATCAACCAGTCTAACACCAGTCTCATTGCACTCTACAGTGGCTAGTATATAAGCCATTGTTTTATAAGTATTGCAGAACAAAACAACTGAAGAAATTACATACCGTTGCATATAACTCCGGCTTCTTCAAATCTTATGTGACAATCGTGAATACCTAGCCCACCATGCTCACAATCACTTAGCAACATTTCATCTCCAGTGCAGTCTACTTCATCGAGATGATAGAATAATGAGCCATTACTTGAAATCACAGGATTATAGGCTGACAGGGGAACAGATGCTGTAGGAACAATGAAAGTTTCCTATAATTTATCTGCCATCTTAACAAACTAATGTTGGTTTCAATTACGTGTGCATGGTGGTGATGTGATTGTGACAAAACTGGGCAGTTCCTTGCCAATTTACAATAGCATAGAATGCTACAGAGGACTATAGGCTCTTATAATAAAGTGAGACTTCATTTTGTGCTTAGCTACCATGACTCTAAATTCATATATTAAAACTGTGGTACAAACGCAGACTATTCTTGCATTAGCTGAATTGTGCCCAAAGCATGTTCATCTAGAGTGGATGCTCTCTGCACACTGCCTGTGTGTGTGTGTTTTGTTGTAGATTTCTTGAGAAAAAAGAGCTATCCTGGGTATAGCTATTTGGCTGTTTGCTTTGCCTTGCCTGTCTACCTCGCTAACTAGTTGTTGACACATGTACAAGGTCCCATGTCCTTTTTGCCTTTGTGTTGTATTGTGTTGAAGATTCGAACCCCTCTCAGCTGAGTTACTTTTGTAGCTCAGTTTGTATAGTGCTCGTCTATAGTGTAGAGTGATGGTGTGAATGACCCCTTGGAAAAACAGATCTGTCCCGGGTGGGACTTGTTTGTTGTGCTTTTGCCTTTCGTAGTTGACACGTGCAAAGGTTAGCACACAATTGAGGTCGAAAACACCTCCCCATAGCTATATGAGCGCTATGATCAAATTGACTGCATCTGTTCGGAGTTTATCTTCAATCAGAGGACACCTCACAAATGTTAAGAACGTTAGTCTTTTTATCACTATGTATGCATTCCTCCACACCACACAAATACTATATTATATGCCTTACCACTACAGTACTCATCCATTACCATGCTATATCCATTCCAACTACAGTACAGAGAAAGAAAAGGATCCCCAGTTTTAGCTTAGAGAAATTTTCTTTAACTACACAAGTCTCAATGTGGTATATACAGCTATAAGTATTGGTTACTCACTTCCGTTGTAGCCCAATTGTCGACACACTACTCTGGCATCTCTGATGTCCCATGAATCATCACATACTGAGCCCCACACCCCACCCAGACATATCTCCACTCTTCCATCATCAGGAGTCACTCCATCAACCAGTCTAACACCAGTCTCATTGCACTCAGCTAATGCATGTAAATACAACTAACAAAACCATTGTATAAAATACACTAACCAAAATCTGAACACATTGCTCCAGCATCTTTGCTGTGACCACAGTAGGTAATGTCCATATCACCACTGCAGTTACCAAGATGAGTTTCATCCCCAACACATGAAAAGGAGTGAATTTTGCCTGAGCCTCCACCATATTCAGCAATAGGGACAGCATCTGAATGATGAGGGCCAATAGGATATTCTAGTGATATGATTTCTAGGTTAGCCAAGAAATAGCTATAGGCCAAATTATAAAAACAACCGCTACTTCATCTCATGCAGAACTTGCATAGATCACATTATACATTACCTAGCTACACAGCAATTCATTTTATTGTGCTCTATCATTACCAGAGCTCCTTTTCTTAGTTGTCTGTTATCTTCAGACAAACCTATTAACCCTGTAACTCTGCTTAAAACAAAATTATACTTTCCATTGTTTTTTCTGACAGCCACATGCTTAGATAAAGTGATGCATGTTTGTTTACTGATTATGCAGGCTGACAAATATACACAATAAGTATACTTTTTGGTTTCACAGTTAGCAACACATGCCACCCCCTTGTTACACAAGTAGTGCAGTAAAGTGAACACCAGCTTATAGCCAATGGACGCATGTAACAAAAAGTCCTTGATTTATCACAAACTAACTTATACTAGCGTTTACTGACAATCAAATCCTAGTTGCTGGCAGGTAACTCTGGCCCCTAACAGTCCCCAGTCATCACTGCACACAGTACCCCACTGGTGATTAATGCAAATCTCCACTCTCCCCCTGACTCCTCTCTGGTTCACAGTGTCTCCGTCGACCAACCTAACCGCTCCATCCTCAGAACACTGCTGTGCAGTAACTGCCAAGCACCAACAAACAGAGTCATGCTTTTCCAGAAAAAGTAGACATCCCACTCTCAATTATAGTACAATATAGCTACCCGTACCAAAAGTATTATGTCCCACAAACAGCGCAAGAAGTAGAGTGACGCCATACAACCCTCGCATCTTCGCAAGAAAAGGACTAGTTCGGTGAAACATAGCTAATCGTTTGCCGTAATGTCAACGCTCGCGCTGCAACGCAAACTTTTGTACAAGACTAGATTGCACTGCACTACCGCAATATTGTACGTGATGCGACACGGACGATCGCGCTCGGCACGATTGTGAAATCTGCCCGTGAACGCATGCGCACAAAAATAGTACGCGACGGAAGACGAGCTGTGGTCACCGCTGTAACGATTATACCACCCCCGTATCCAGGCACTACAACCCCGCTCTCCTATATAGCCGTGCAACAGCTCCCTCCTTCCTGCAGCCACGTCTGCTCCGCTGGAGCACCTTAACCGGGCGAGGTACTCTGTGTCTGTGGGGTTAGAAATGCAAGTGGGAAATCTACAGTTGAGTGTGTGCAATGCTACTGTTTGTCGTACAACCAGTGTGCTAGACTCACACTATGCAGAGCTAAACAGTCTCGGTTTCTCTGTCACCGATGCCGCCCATTAGCAGCGACCAAGCACTCAAGGACAGAAACACCCTGTGCACAGACCCCAGTCCTGTATCTATCAACAGCTCCTCGCCTCCTCCAAATTTGAAAAACTCTCTAGTACCAACCTCCTCTGGTACAACAACTCAATGCTCCTCACCCTCCCCTCCCTGTACACCTACCTCCCAGATCTCCCAGCCTCAACCTCCCCCCTCAACCAGCCGCTCTCCCCCTGCCATCTACACCATTACCAAGCCCTAGAGCCCCTGTATCACTGCCCCCCCCCAGGTTGCCATTGATATTTAACACCAAGCGAGTGGCAGTGTTCGATGCAACCCTCCATTATCATCTGCTGAAACCCCTACCCTTGTCGCCTCCAGCATCCAGAGTATTACGACAACAACCAACATCAGCAGCAATAGCGCTCAACCAGTATCTCAATCACTTTGCTCTATCTCGCAGCAAGCCATAATCGGAACAATCCACCTCCCAATCTCGGATGAAAATGGTAATTGCAACGCTGCTCCCAACAGACAGCCATGGAAGACCAGCTGCACAACATGTTACTTCTCACAATACCCCAATCGTGTGCACAAGACCTGTTGCGAAGCTTGGAATCTGACAATGGGCGTTGTCTGGCTTTTCGACGAAGATGGTTGTCGTGTAGGTAGCAACTCCTCTCTCTGTGAGCCCACATGTTACATGACCCCCTCTGGTGGGTACTGACCAAGTGACAAGAGAATCAAGAGTGCTGTTAGGGCAGAATTCAACACAAGACTCCTATCCCTAGAGGATGAAATCTCCCGTCTTACTCAGTCACTCTCAGAGAAGCTCCAAAGAACGTCAGCTCTGGTTTCTATTCTAACAGTAAGACAGCTGGGGTCCACTCGTGATCAAATGGCCACTGTTAACCATCAACCATCTTCCTCCCGCCAGCAACACACACAGTGAACTAATAGAGTCAATACGGTCACCTCCCAACCTGATCGACCTCTGGCAAATAGACCTAGACCAAGAGATCCCAACTCCCTCCCATTCAGGACTGTCTGGGGAACCAAAAGCAATTGCATATTCCAGGTTGTGCACACTTCTACGGCTTAATTCATTTCCCATAATCTCCCTCCCAGACTCATCGCACGTATGCAGCCCAAATTCGCACCTTTATATACTTACCCAAATCTACCGTCTCCTAGTAGTATAATAGTTTTCTGTCTCAATGTTCGTGGACTATCTTCCAACCATCAGTATCTAGAACTCTTACTTAATGACGACTCCCCGGACCTTATTGCAATCTCTGAACACTGGTTATATACAGGATAACAATATTCAAAAGATCCAGGAACTGCACTCTGACTACAGGTTCTTGGCGGTGTGCCTGCCATGCCAGGAACATCCGTTATTTTGTACCCCCCAACTACTTAGCGGCCATGGTGGAGTAGCCATAGGATGGAATTCCCAACTAGGCCACCTTATAAAACCGACCCCCATTGTATCCTCCCACCAAATGTTAGGAATTGACTCTCCCCAGCTCCAGTGTTTGTGTTCTCAGTCTACCTCCCCAGCCGGTCTGGATGCACTGATGTTTTCAGAGAATCATTGGAACAATGGAACAACTAGACGCAGTACTGGGATCCCTCCCAGTATCATCTGACACCATTATCCTCGGGGACTTTGCTGACCCAGGTAGCCAGGGAGGGCCTCTCTCCACCACCAGATTAAATGAGCAAGGGAGAATATTAAAATATTAGTACCTCCCATGGTGAACTGGAACCTTGTCTTTACTCACCTTCACAAATCCCACCTATCTTCCTCTGCACACATAATATGAGAGTGAAGCCCATGCCACCCCCTCTACCATTGATCACATCATGTGCCAGGAAAGGCTCCTACCTCCAGTAAACTCCTCCCACCCCCTTCCTGACCACCACCTCAACTTGTCAGACCGTCTTCCAGTTATTACCTCTTTTAGGATCCATCACAACCTACCTCAGGTCCCATCGTCAGTGAGCAAGTCTACTCCGTCCTTCACCCCTCGTGACTGGAACTCAGTGTCCGAGGAAGCTATTTGCTCTCTCTACTCCACACCCCTCCAACAACGTTTGGAAGACATGCTGAGTAACCTCCAACCTACAAAAATCCAGTCCTCCCAGACCCTTGTCTCATTGATCACCATTTGACTATATGTGCTAACTGAAACACTTCTCTCTGCCTCCAGAAACATTCCTCTGGAAGCATATCACTCATTCAAGCGTCCAAGGTGGAGCCCCACCTTAAAAGCGGCTAGCAGAAGATGTAAACAATTCTACCGGGTCTGGTTTAAGACTGGTAGGCCCCGTAATTCTAACCATCCGGCTTGGGCTTCCTACAAACAGTCCAATAGAGAGTTCAGAGCTCAAACACGGCGAAGACTTGTACACCATCCAACGCCACACCTCATCCTTTGCCAGCAGGCCAGTCACCAACTATACCTCCGTGGGCGGCAACAATTTTGAAGGCCCTCGAATTCTTGAAGTATGGGCTCAATACTTTTAATCCCTTGGTACACTTAAACACAATATTTCTGGTGGTCTCAACTGTCAGGCAGAAATATCTCGATTACTTGGAAACTTACCTCGTCACTGAGCCTGAACTGATCACGACGGACGAAATTGAAGTCCTTATCTCTGCCCTGCCCCTGAGGAAGGCTGCAGGCCACAACAATCTCACCAATGAACACCTTAAGTTTGCTCCTCCCCCCTCTCACCGACATTCTCACAGGAATCTTGAACGCTTTCTCCTCTCAGGCCACATTCCTACATCATTCCGTAAGGGGGTTATTATCCCTGTCCCAAAGGGTATATAGAAGGTAAAAAAGCAGATGAAGGAGAGAGAGGATATTGAAGCAGAGCTCCATAGGGCTACAAAGTGTCAAAGGGTCGGTGTATATTCTGCCCATTTGCAATCCTTACTTTTGAGCATTGATTGCTTTTGTCGAGTATACTGTATCCTGACACCCTTATTACAATTTATGACTGAAATACTGAATCCTAAACCCGAAATTTCAATCTGTTTATCACCAATATTACGGAAATATAATTCCTAATATTAAGATTGGCCTTCGGTAAGCACTAAAGCCTTTGTCCAAAGACTGGAAATGCAAGTAAATCAGTAAGGATTAGCTATATAGGCCCATTGCGTTGCAAGCCAAGTCTCTCCACGCATGTGCCGACACGTGCTGCCGACCTGCTACATCACGTTTTTACACTGTCTTGAAGTTGAAGGTTGTGCTGAGAAGAGAGGGGGAGGGTACATAGAGGTCGACTCTCTACGTGTTACAACAGAGGTGCTTTGGAGTGGACTTCCACCCTCTCTCTCCGCCCCTCTTCTTATAACTTTCCATGGGAACGTGATATAGCTAACAGAGCTTGGAAAAGCTGGAGGGCTCACTGGTCAGTGTATATTCCGGCCGTTTGAAATCCCAACTTTTGAGCATTGAACGCTAAATCCAAAATCCAAAATCCAAAATCCGAATGTTAATCATTATAAGTCTTAACATTAGGATCGGCCTTCGGTAAGCACTAAATCCTAAGTCCAAAGACTGAAATTGCAAACGCACAATGTAAACCCGTGATCTAGGATTAGAGCAGGGTCTCCCCGTGCATGAACTATAATTTCATGCACCGACATGTGGCCCTTTGTGTGGAGAAGTTGAGAACGGAGAGCCCCCCCAGCTCTCCAAGACCTGCTATGTCACTTTACACTTGCAGATGGAGGTTGTGCTGAGAAGAGGGTGGAGAGGGTGGAGGTCGACTCCTCATTTGTTGCAACAGAGGTGCTTCGAAGGACGTTCCTAGTAAGCCATATAGTGGGAGAGTGACAACTATGCAGGTCTGCTTAGCATTTAGTCTGGTCTTACGTTGAGTGAAATGGCGGAAGGTGTGGTTACTTTCAGACACTGCACTGCATCGTAGTGGTGGTGATGGTTGTTGTGGTTGTCATTCTCCTAAAGCTGGTTTTGTCCAGGAGAAGTAAGAAGAGGCAGATGGAGAGAATGCAGCTTGACATTCTTGCTGTGTGAGTATTATATTCAATGATCTGAGGGCATATGAGAAAAAGTATTGTACTGCACAAACCATAATAAGCTGTTCCCAGCGGTGGATCTAGGATTTTGAAAGGTGGGGCTCGTGCATGCACATGAGGCCGGCAATGCATGCACACAAAAAGACAAAAAGAGGGATTCCGCTGAACCCAAGGAACCCCCTGGATCCGGCACTGGTTCCTGCAAATATTGTTTCGCCTTGGTCTATGAGACTTTCGGGCCACAGTATTCTGCGGAGTAGAGCTTATTGTACTTGGTGAAAGTTATGTTCCAAGTAGCATTGCATAACCAAGGTTCTTTCCCAGATATAGACAACCCTAAAATCAGGGTATTTCATTAGCCTATGCTGTTTCATGGTGAATGGAAGAGTTACTCTGTGAGAGGTGGTCAGAGACATAATCTGAATTGACAGCATGGTAAAAAATGCGCAGCAGTCATTACAGTGGAGGTGTACAGATAAGAGGTTATTTCTTGTGTAAACTCCCACTTATGATGGTATCATAATTCAGCCGTGAAAGGAGGCCACAAAACCTGCTCTGTTTATACTAGATTAATATATAACTTCTTTTATCTGCGGACCACTGTAGCTATGATACGCCTCTAAGCTACACTGTATAATATTATGCAGTATTATTATACTACAAGTCTATAAATTGCATAGTTGGCTCTGAGTTGTCGCATGATCTCCGTAAAGTCGTCACGTGTGGAGGAGTCCGCTCCGGCGATCGCTTAGCTACAATGCTAAGGTACTATACACATAGTTGCCAACTTTTCCGGAGGAAAATCGGGACAGCGCGACCCCGCCCCCTTATAAACGGGACACACCCACTTATTACGTATTATAACGCGCGCGTGATTAGCCATCTTCACATACTGCGCGTGCGCGTACTACGTGTTGAGTTGATGCGCAGCCCGTCGTGTTGACGGCATAGCCTCCCGCGAGAGCCATAGCTAGCTAGTTTAGTAAACTTATCAAGAAACTGTGACTAAAGGTAAGGTATATGTTCCTATTGCGAGTCAGCGGGTATTACGAGTCACCTTCAAGTATCGAAGCGATAACCCTTACAATATCTTGTTTTGTTTTGCCTTTTTTCTGGTTTGTATTATTCCCGTGTTTATTATGTTCCACTGTGAATTGGCTGGTCAACGAAAAAATCATTTCCTGCATAAAACCGACAATGTAAGAGCGGTTTCAAGGGTACACTGACGGCGCTAATAGTTGTCGTTAAACTGATATTTGAAGTGTACTAATGTTAACCACCACTGCGAATTAGTTGTTAGTTTTATACTCTTACCCAGTCCCCCTATGTTATTAACGTGTCCTTAATAACTTTCAATTTATGCATTCTTGTCATTCTTCAGTAGTAGTGTCAACTGCACTTCATCGCACCTCTGTATATACATGTTTTTCTATATACTCTGTGTACTGTGTTGCTGGTGTTTTTTTTTTTATGAGTGACGCATAATAATGTATTCAACGACCCATAATGCATGCATTGACGAGTTGAAAGAAATTTGTTTTATAGGGGGGATGTTCAAATAGGCACCCGCAATATTAGAAACTCATGATTTTCATTGCAAAATTTGAAATGTCTGCCACTATTCCTCCTAGGTTCACTCAAGAAACATTTAGGTGACTCATGTCAACATGTACCTTACTGTTTGAACTCTGAAGAGTCATCTAACACAAGTGGAAGCGCTGGCTAGCCAGAAAATTCCGGGACATTTTGCTATTTTGCCTCGCCCGGGATACGGCCGGGAGGAACCCCATTTTTCTGGGACTGTCCTGGCCATTCCGGGACGGTTGGCGACTATGCTTCACTTCTGTCTCTGATAGTTAAGTCAAAACAACTGCAAGTTCTCCCTAGGCTCTAAACTGCAAGTGTGTCGTGTCTGTGCGGGGCTCAGCTACAATGCACTATTGCAGCTAAAAAAAGTGCAAAAATATCTTGTCGGTTGAAGAACAGTAGCTCTGACTAATGCTCTTTCTCAGTGCTTTCCACTAAAAGGATGTCATTACTATTTCGAATGTTGATCTAAGCACATCTATGACCACATGCTGTGGTGTGTTTTTGGGCAGCTTGTTTGTGTCTTGTGCGTGATAGACGTTGTGAATACTGACTCTCAGTCTATGTTGCGGGTGTTAGGATGAGACTGCTACTGTTGGTTCTCTGTCTTCTCTACTGTTGTCTGGTGGAGGTCCACTCCCAGACAATAGTCATCAGGAGAAGTCACAATGACACAGTGTACATTGGGACTCAGCTCACTCTGACCGCTCACATCTCTCTCAGTGATGTGAATTCAGTGGACGTTACCTGGACCAGAGGCAATGATGCCATAGCCAATGACTCTCATACCATTGTATCAGTAGTCAGTGCAAGTGGCTCCACCACCTACATGTCATTTCTCTCATTATCGCCTGTTACCTCCTACGATGGTGGTCCCATCACTGCCACAGTGACAGCTACTGTCACTGCTACTAGTCTAGTTGTGACTCCATCTGATACACACATCTTGAGGGTCACAGGTACAGTAGCTACCAGAGAGATATTTTCAGGAATGTAGCTCTACTTTTAGTCCCCAGGCCAGTGGTGATGTTATCTGTACCAGGAGAAAAGCAGGAGCTAGTGTCTGGGTCTAGTCTCTCGCTCTCCTGTTTTATCCAGCCTCTCTCTGTGGACACCTCCACCACTGTCCTCTCCAATTGGAGCACTCCTGGTGGTAGAAACAACAGAGAGAATGAAACTAGTCCACAGTTGGTCATATCCTGTGTAGAGACAGCAGATAGTGGAAACTACACCTGCTCAGTGAGAGTGACTGACTCCACTAATAGTCTGTATATACTGGACAGTCCTCTAGCATATAATACAACAACTATCACTGCCAGTAAGTGGCTCTGTTAGGTCTAAATCATTCCTTCGTGTGTTGTATCTCCTCATACAGAACTGAATGTGACTGTGAGTGCACTCTACAAACCAGCTCCAGGGGAGGTCCCTGGGGAATTGGGTCCTAATCAGTTCACTGCAGGCAGTGATCTAACTCTCAACTGTTCAGTTGAGGGACACAGTGGAGCTCTGAGCTACATGTGGTCTCTCACTGGGAACCCCGCTGCTCCATCTGGCTGTTTTAGCTGTAACATTGATATCTCATCAACTACTTCCACACTGGTGGTGGGGAGACCGGAACTATACTCCTACTATGCTGGCGACTACTCATGTACTGTCAGTGAGATTGGTAGACCTGCCAGTAGTAACAGAGATAACTTCTCTGTTACCGTTATTGGTGAGTTAACGTATATGTTTCTGTCACAGTGGACTGATAGTTCATATGTTTCAGGTGCAGGGCTATATGCTTTAGAGTCTGACAGCAGTGTATCATCAGGTCCCATAGCCAACAATGGACTGATAGTCAGTAGAAGTGACGACATGAGACTGGAGTGTGTCTCTAACTCAGATACAGCTGAAGTGGGAAACATCACTACACCTGATGGAACGATACTAACATCTAATGAAATAATACTAACTCCTGGTGTAGCTAATAGTACTCTGACTTTAACTAACCCATTCGGTCGACCTGGAGTTCTCCGTCTTCGATCAGGTGATGGAACACAGCGAATACCACCAATACGAAAACATCTTCCAGCCTCAGCCCAAGGAGTATAAACCTTCACTATTCCTGATTCCAATGGAAAAGACATATCCCTCAATGTTGGATTGTATCCACCTGGCTTCAATGGTGAGCCATTGGAGTTGTGTGATCAAATTTATATTTTCCTCCACATACAGTGACTCCCACCATCACTAATCTCACCTACCACGAGAGCAACGATAGTCACATCACATGTGTGTCCACTGGCTCCCCTGCCACCAATGTCTCCTGGACAAAGGACGGAGCACCTCTTACATCAGATTACACAATTTCTCAGACTGTCATTGACCGCAGTGCCTCCACCTACTCCAATGTCCTGACTGTCAGTCCTCAAAGAGCTGCTGGTACATACAACTGCACAGTTTCCAATGATCTGGGCTCTAACTCTAGTGTGGTAGTGGCTCTTGGTGAGTTACCACTTCATTTTTCTTGATCGTTTTCGTTACCATCACATTAGGCATCACTGCGATCACATGCAATTTGACTTGGGCCATCCCTATAGAGCGTCTACTTTCTTATAATAATTCAATTATTGTGCACAAGGCAGTTGGATGATAAAATATTTTTTAACAGATGCAGTTGCATACCCAGTTGAGGCTTTTGAAGTAAGATATACATCAGACACCTCTGTCACATTCTCTTGGAGCCAGCCCAGTATTGGAGCCCACCTCACCACTGGCTACAACCTGACATGTGTCCCTCTCCTGACTGGGATCCCATTCCCCCAGTCTCTTCCCCTGTTAGCACCAACCCGGTCCTCAGCCACCCTGTCTGGGTTCTTCTCTGGAGTCCGCTACAACTGCAGCATCTCCACCATCTCCCAACGTGGATCCTCTCTCCCTGTCTCTCTCAACCTCGCCACCAATGGGACTGGTATGTATATACTGCTCTGTTATGAACCTAACAAACGTTGTGTCTCTAACGTCTAACACAATTTGTGCAACACTCTGCAATACTTTGGCATTAGACGGCTTTTCCCCCTCACTCAGTCATGAGCCCCGGAGTTGTATGTGGGTTAAGTTTGATTATGACATCATCCATTCTTAAACCAACCAGCTCCTTAACAGAATAAGTTGATGCACTACCAGTGTCAAGAACCCGTAATATTTAAGATGTGCTTCGGATTCTTATTTCCTCATGTTCTTTCTCAGCTCCATCGGGATCTCCTAGGATGTTAGCGGTAGTCCCAGGAGAGAGAGAAGTTGTGTTCTCCTGGTCTCCTCCTCCTGTCACTCAGCGTAATGGAGTCATCACCAGTTACACCCTCTCCTGCTCCCCCTCCCCCTCCTCCCTCCCTCCCACCTCGCAGTCTGGACCTCACACAGTGGCGGGCTTCTCTCCCAACACTCACTACTTCTGTTCTCTGGTTGCCAGTAACAATCAGGGCTCTGGACCCCCTGCCAACACCTCATTCACCACTCAACAAGACTGTAAATTCAGTTGATATTAGTTTCAGGATGTATAGTAGGTATGGCTTTCCACCACAGATTCCTTCTTTCAACTCCGTTTGGGTAAGGTTCCTACTTCTTGTTCTGAAGAAATTGTAAGTTTCTTTCGTACGTCTTGTTCTTACTATACAAGACTCTTCTGACTTTGTTACAGAGTTCAGAGAGATCCCTGAAACTGGAGCACATTACTGCTGCAGTAGTGAAGGAGTTGAAGTCATCTTGCTCAGAGTGTGGGACAGAAATGATAGACAACCAGCGATTTGTCTGCTATCCAGAGTCTCCGTCGTTCCTGACATATCGAGCCAGACTGGAGGGAACCTCTGAGACAGACAGTGGCTCCCTCGTCTCTCTGATAGAGGTCTGGGTGAGAGGAGGCGGGGCCAGCCTCGTTGTAACTGGAGTACAGATGACCGTGGACTCCCACTGCTCAGTGGCCATCTCTTCTCTCAGTCAGCCACCACAGTGCTCTCCTTCTTCCACTCCTACTGCCACTTCATCTCCTTCCACCGACATGGCTCCTGTTGATAGAAGCAGTGATGAAGAACCTGCACAAGTTTCCAATGCTATAATTGGAGGAATCGTGGCTGTTGTTCTTATCATTGCTATTACTATTGCTGTCATAACGATCGTTTTTCTAGTCCTTAAGGAACGTCGTGGAGGGGCTTCACTGATGAGTTCAAACAAAACGTAAGTTGCTGAATGTTATATGAATGCAGGTTTTCCAGTTAAAATAGGTGTGAAGCATGAAAAGGTCACTTGATGTGTTCAAATTGAATGCAGGTCAGCAGTCACTGAAAGTGGTGTTATTCACACATCAACCAACACGGCATATGGGAAGGTGGAACGACAACAGGGATATGAACTGGTGGACTTCTCTCACGGAGAACCTCCACCTCCTCCAGCTGAGATGTATGAGGTTCCCTCATTCTCTGCCTCGGCCCCCAGCCAGCCCCTCCCTCCCATCCCTCCCCCTCCTATCCCTGAAACAGAGGAAGACACTCTTTATGATGCCATTCCTGGAGACAAGTGACTCGTCCTGATCACTAGTGTCGAAAAGAATGCGTGCTGAATTTGGTCTTACATTTACTTGTTAGAGATAGTCTTTAGATAGTAGTATAATTAGATTTGGTAGATAACTACCTCTGAGGTTGTTTAGATACATTCACAGATGTGTGCTTGTCAATTTGCTGTTAAAATTTCCTCCACACAAGCCCTATATTTGTCGCGAAGTACGAGTATGCTCCCTTGTACGTTGCACAGCTATGATTTACGTATTTCAGAAGCACATTAGACAGGTTATAGCTACCATCTACTCAGTTTTCAGTTGTGACTGCATTGTGTGAAGGCTAAGATACATTTGCTCAACTAAACAGTTTTACAATGCTGCGTTCTTGGCCATCTACATACAGAATCCTTTCTCCATTGTCCTCGCACTTCACTTGTCCTTGCACTTCACTAAACAAACAGTAAAGGGTGGCGACAATATGAGTGGAGGAAATTTTACACAAGCAAGCAATGTCAGTTCGAAGATGTAACCAGCATCCCACTGTACTAATGATCACACACTAAAGTACAAACTCGTCCCTTCGTCGGAGGTTCTGTAATTAATTACCATCATAATGAAAAGCACTAAAGTGCAAACCCTCGGCGAACTGCGCATGAGCGGTAACGCTAATTGTTGGGCTGGGATAGCGTTTACTCGCTAGTGTGTACAGTGGAACCTCACTGAATGAGAGGTCCTCTGCAGCTTTTTCTCGAGGAGCGAGACTATGTAATGCGCGCGCACCGCATTGGAAACGCCCTCCTCGGCGCATGCAGCTCACTGATGCTGAGTTAGCAGCAAATGGCGTTGTTCAGTGACTACCGTGGAGGAGCTCAACGATCTACCGTAGTGACTTGCGGCAAGAAAGAGACGATCGCTTGATGTCCGTGCACACCTCTGGCGAATCTGGAAACGTTTAATGGAAAAATCAGCACTTCAACTATTTTGGGTAGCGAGGTAGCTAGCGGGTTTACTGAAGAAGAAACCGGAAGATGAAGAATATGATAATAATGATGATGATGACACGAAAATCGTGAAATCGCGTAAGAGCCTCGTGGGGAACTGAGGGCACGTAGGAAGTCTTGGGAGAGTATGTATAGCTAGGTAGCTATTGGCCTGTAGACTATTGCTAGTGATTTTCAAGCAATGGTGAGTCTTTCTCACCAAGTTTTGAGACGTTTTGTACGCGGATCACGTGAGATTTCACCCGTGTCATCCCTATATAATAATATATTTATATAGAGCGTCTACCGACGCTCTGATAACTGGGAGGGGGGAATTGTCTAAATGTCTTAGTAATACCTTTGTTTGTCTGATTGGCAAGGTGTTTTGGCCACATGAAACTTTCCATTTTAAAACCATATCCCTAAGACCGACTTTTCCAGGATATGATTGTTCAGTGAAAAATATATCCCCACCAAAAACACATAGCTATTATGGTTTTATCTGTGTTGACTTCTAGTTCCTCCTTTGGGAACAATCTTATAAGGTGGTTGGGAAAAGTCTGATAAGGATGTTATGTGTTTCCTTAGACCTGTCAGTATTCCCCCCTCACAACCCGACGCGCTTGCCCTCTGTAATTCACTTGGCCTAAAGGCCGATTTACAGTATCTCTGCTAACGAACATTGTGAGGTATAGGGGGACACTCCCCGAGCCATCGACACAATCCCTATATTGTTGCCTAGGTGAAGTAGCTATATGCCCAGGGAGTTTGCATATGAGCACAAACATATACTCAGTGTGGTCTACACACATTCAGGGGCAATTGAAACTTGCATTCCACTTCTACATGAGTAGTTAACTGGAAGTGTTGCTATATACCCTCTTTTGAATTGCAAAATTAACTTTTATAGATGATACGCCAGGCAGCAATATAGGGATTGTGTCGATGGCTCGTGGAGTGTCCCTATCCTCACAATGTATATGTATGGAAGCTATGCCTTATATGCCATCCTATCTTGTCTCCTTTTCTTTTTATATATACCATCCCTATTATATTCCTTCTTTCAAAATTCGCAGGATTTTATTATTTACTTGCATAGCTACGACGGAAAATCGCGCATCCCGCATCCAGAGGCTCGGCTTGATCGCCAATATCAAAGCCGGGATATATACACTACATGTGCATGGTTTTCCTACGAGTAGAGATAGTTACATTCTGACCACTAACTCAGCTCGAGTAATCGCGCCCACGCCAACAATCTTACTTACACAATACGGAACAAAAGGCCGCTTAGCGGGTACATAGCAATAATGCATTATCAGTGTATTACGGCTATATAATAAGTATACTCAAACATGATTAGCTATATCAACGTTCTATAAACTGATTAGAGGTACCCGATGCTTGCGGACACGAAAACGATCAAAGCAGTGCCTAGCTGCGTTGAACTTCGATTGATCGTACTTGTATCTCGAGCACAATCGAGGAACTCCTTTGGCGGGTTGAAGTCGACGTTGCATCCCTCGGGGATGTCTACGTCGCAAGCAGAAAATATCTCCGACACCGTAGGTCCGTCGTAGGCGCTCCCTTCCTCGCTGTAGTCTTGGTAGTCCTTCCAGTAGTCCACGCAACAACCACTCCCCGCCACGTACATCTCTACGGTATTTTTGCAATTATCGTTGCATTCAAACTCGCCACGACCCATTGAACTAGTGGCTGAACACTTCTTCAGCAAAGACTCCGTTAAATTGGACTTCAAGGTGCAAAAATCTCCGTTGTCAAACCCACAATACAGAAACGTGTCGTTCGGATATATACCGCATTCTTTGTCTACCTCTGCATACCGCTGCCCTATTGTTGTGCAGAAAACATAAAGAATTGTCTCACAGAGCATTCTTCCGTATATACAGTTGCGTACGTTTTCTCGTTCGTCGGTTGGACTATCGCAGGGTTGCGAGGAGTAGTCGTAATCGTAGTCGTAATCATAGTCGCTGTCGTCTAATAGGAAATTCTTGCAATTACTCTGCTTGATTTCTTGCTTTAAAGCTGCGATATAACTTTCTTGACAAAAGAGAGCGTCCGTTTTCCTGAAATATTCTTCGCTATACGGAGTGCAGGTTGCATCCCTTCGGTCTACGACCAAGCGTTTGTTGTTGCCGCGAAGGCGGCGCGTTGAAGCGTGGAAGTTGCTGCCGGTGACGGCGAACAGCTCTAGTTGAAAAATGGCAGCACACAGAAGTAAAGTCGTGACTTGCTTCATGTTTCACCGAAAATTTATCCGTCTGAACAAGGTCGACGTGTTTTTATATTATGGCAAGGAACGAAAATGTAGCCGGTCAGGGCAGGAATGCCGCGCGCCGTATTTTTCATGGCAATGCGTGAGAGAATAGCGATAGAAGGTGAAAGAGTGATTATGGAGCTTCAATAGTAGTTAATTAGAGCCTACATTCAGCAGCTAATGGCTACTAGCTACACTACCTCAGTGACTCCTTTACTGAACAGATTCACTCCTGGCTCTCACTTCACCGGCAACCTCGCTCCTACTCAACTGTAATCAATACAGGCAGACCAGCAAATCTTCTCCACACGCGCAAAGCATCTAGCTTCTAAGTACAGTGATCGTCTGGGATCTCACCAGCTTCCCCGGCCTTCTCCGCTCCAGAATCTTATTTTACCATGCATGCCTACTACTTGATAATATGTCCACGTTTTACTCTCAGAGTTGCCGTGGTTACCGAGAAAAACGGTGGACAGACGGACGGACGGAAGGACACAAGCACACACACACACACAGACAGACCGACTGTGTTAATCCTCACTGTGCATGTGCGCAGGAGAGGGTTAATAACGTTTTTAGCATTGCTGCAAACCCAATGTTCTACACCAGCACAACTCCAAACACCCCCAGTTACCTCTGATACACTTGATGCACGTAATGGAGGAAATATGTATCTTTTGGCCAACAGACTCGGCAGTAGCGAGCATACCTGAGTCAGCAGTGAATTAAACATTGTCTACTACAATGCAGGTATATATATAGCCTACTTCCAAAATTGACCATTTGAGAGAAACAGAATTTCCAGTTGATGTAATTTGCATTGTTTAATGATGGCTGTCAAATGATATTTCTGACAATAAACATGTGATCCCCGATTATTATTTTTAGACGTCAGTCTCAGTCAGCCACCACAGTGCTCTCCTTCTTCCACTCCTACTGCCACTTCATCTCCTTCCACCGACATGGCTCCTGTTGATAGAAGCAGTGATGAAGAACCTGCACAAGTTTCCAATGCTATAATTGGAGGAATCGTGGCTGTTGTTCTTATCATTGCTATTACTATTGCTGTCATAACGATCGTTTTTCTAGTCCTTAACGAACGTCGTGGAGGGGCTTCACTGATGAGTTCAAACAAAACGTAAGTTGCTGAATGTTATATGAATGCAGGTTTTCCAGTTAAAATAGGTGTGAAGCATGAAAAGGTCACTTGATGTGTTCAAATTGAATGCAGGTCAGCAGTCACTGAAAGTGGTGTTATTCACACATCAACCAACACGGCATATGGGAAGGTGGAACGACAACAGGGATATGAACTGGTGGACTTCTCTCACGGAGAACCTCCACCTCCTCCAGCTGAGATGTATGAGGTCCCCTCATTCTCTGCCTCGGCCACCAGCCAGCCCCTCCCTCCCATCCCTCCCCCTCCTATCCCTGAAACAGAGGAAGACACTCTTTATGATGCCATTCCTGGAGACAAGTGACTCGTCCTGATCACTAGTGTCGAAAAGAATGCGTGCTGAATTTGGTCTTACATTTACTTGTTAGAGATAGTCTTTAGATAGTAGTATAATTAGATTTAGTAGATAATTACCTCTGAGGTTGTTTAGATACATTCACAGATGTGTGCTTGTCAATTTGCTGTTAAAATTTCCTCCACACAAGCCCTATATTTGTCGCGAAGTACGAGTGTGCTCCCTTGTATGATGCACAGCTATGATTTACGTATTTCAGAAGCACATTAGACAGGTTATAGCTACCATCTACTCAGTTTTCAGTTGTGACTGCATTGTGTGAAGGCTAAGATACATTTGCTCAACTAAACAGTTTTACAATGCTGCGTTCTTGGCCATCTACATACAGAATCCTTTCTCCATTGTCCTCGCACTTCACTTGTCCTTGCACTTCACTAAACAAACAGTAAAGGGTGGCGACAATATGAGTGGAGGAAATTTTACACAAGCACGCAATGTCAGTTCGAAGATGTAACCTTCATCCCACTGTACTAATGATCACACACTAAAGTGCAAACTCTCGGCGAACTGCGCATGCGCGGTACCGCTAATAACGCTAGTATAATAGCTCGCGGAGAGTTCCAGTTTGTCGCTCTCGAACGCAGTTGTTTCAGGTTAACCCCCCCTTTTACTTTTCAGGCTCGCGCAGTTCTGAAGCCGCTGGTATTGCTAAATGAGCTGCCTCGTAGCCTGTAGTGCCAGAATGTCGACACACACACAGGCACACAACCAACCCTCGCTGTGCATGCGCGCCGAGGGTAAAACTACCTCAAAAGTCGAACATTTTGTTTTGCTTTCTCAATGTATAGATTTCGCTCATTACTTTTAACCCATTTTTTTATTTCGCTGTGTGTGCAGTGGAACCTAAATAAAGAATGGACACGGTGGGGACGAGCATTTTGTCCATCGTTAGGAGGTCGTCCCTTCGTCGGAGGTTCTGCCATTAATTACCATAATAATGAAAAGCACTAAAGTGCAAACCCTCGGCGAACTGCGCATGAGCGGTAACGCTAATTGTTGGGCTGGGATAGCGTTTACTCGCTAGTGTGTACAGTGGAACCTCACTGAATGAGAGGTCCTCTGCAGCTTTTTCTCGAGGAGCGAGACTATGTAATGCGCGCGCACCGCATTGAAACGCCCTCCTCGGCGCATGCAGCTCACTGATGCTGAGTTAGCAGCAAATGGCGTTGTTCAGTGACTACCGTGGAGGAGCTCAACGATCTACCGTAGTGACTTGCGGCAAGAAAGAGACGATCGCTTGATGTCCGTGCACACCTCTGGCGAATCTGGAAACGTTTAATGGAAAAATCAGCACTTCAACTATTTTCGGTAGCGAGGTAGCTAGCGGGTTTACTGAAGAATAAACCGGAAGATGAAGAATATGATGATGATGATGATGATGATGACACGAAAATCGTGAAATCGCGTAAGAGCCTCGTGGGGAACTGAGGGCATGTAGGAAGTCTTGGGGAGTATGTATAGCTAGGTATTGGCCTGTAGACTATTGCTAGTGATTTTCAAGCAATGGTGAGTTTTTATCACCAAGTGTTGAGACGTTTTGTACGCGGATCACGTGAGATTTCACCCGTGTCATCCCTATATATAATATATTTTTATAGAGCGTCTACCGACGCTCTGATAACTGGGATGGGGGAATTGTCTAAATGTCTTAGTAATAACTTTGTTTGCCTGATTGGCAAGGTGTCTTGGCCACATGAAACTTTCCATTTTAAAACCATATCCCTAAGACTGCACTTTTCCAGGATATGATTGTTCAGTGAAAATATATCCCCACCAAAAACACATAGCTATTATGGTTTTATCTGTGTTGACTTCTAGTTTCCTCCTTTGGGAACAATCTTATAAGGTGGTTGGGAAAAGTCTGATAAGGATGTTATGTGTTTCCTTAGACCTGTCAGTATTCCCCCCTCACAACCCGACGTGCTTGCCCTCTGCAATTCACTTGGCCTAAAGGCCTCTAACCCGATTTACAGTATCTCTGCTAACGAACATTGTGAGGTATAGGGGGACACTCCCTGAGCCATCGACACAATCCGTATATTGTTGCCTAGGTGAAGTATATGCCCAGGGAGTTCACATATGAGCACAAACATATACTCAGTGTGGTCTACACACATTCAGTGGCAATTGAAACTTGCATTCCACTTCTACATGAGTAGTTAACTGGAAGTGTTGCTATATGCCCTCTTTTGAATTGCAAAATTGACTTTTATAGATGATACGCCAGGCAACAATATAGGGATTGTGTCGATGGCTCGTGGAGTGTCCCTATCCTCACAATGTATATGTATGGAAGCTATGCCTTATATGCCATCCCTATCTTGTCTCCTTTTCTTTTTATATATACCATCCCTATTATATTCCTTCTTTCAAAATTCGCAGGATTTTTTTTATTTACCTGCATAGCTACGACGGAAAATCGCGCATCCCGCATCCAGAGGCTCGGCTTGATCGCCAATATCAAAGCCGGGATATATACACTACATGTGCATGGTTTTCCTACGAGTAGAGATAGTTACATTCTGACCACTAACTCAGCTCGAGTAATCGCGCCCACGCCAACAATCTTAACTTACACAATACGGAACAAAAGGCCGCTTAGCGGGTACATAGCAATAATGCATTATCAGTGTATTACGGCTATATAATAAGTATACTCAAACATGATTAGCTATATCAACGTTCTATAAACTGATTAGAGGTACCCGATGCTTGCGGACACCAAAACGCTCAAAGCACTGCCTAGCTGCGTTGAACTTCGATTGATCGTACTTGTATCTCGAGCACAATCGAGGAACTCCTTTGGCGGGTTGAAGTCGATGTTGCATCCTTCGGGGATGTCTACGTCGCAAGCAGAAAATATCTCCGACACCGTAGGTCCGTCGTAGTAGTATCTCCCATCCTCGCTGTAATATCGTTCGTCCTTCCAGTAGTCCACGCAGCAACCACTCTCCGCCACGTACATCTCTACGGCATTTTTGCAATTATCGTTGCATTCAAACTCGCCACGACCCATTGAACTGTTGTCTGAACAATTCTTCAGCAAAGACTCGGTTAAATTGTACCTCAAGGTGCAAAAATCTCCGTTGTCAATCCCACAATACAGAAACGTGTCGTACGGATCTACACCGCATTCTTTGTCTACCTCTGCAATACTGCTGCCCTATTGTTGTGCAGAAAACATACACGAATTGTCTCAAAGAGCATTCTTCCGTACAGTTGCGTACGTTCTCTCGATCGTCGGTTGGACTATCGCAGGGTAGCGAGGAGCTGTTATCGTAGTCGTAATCGTAGTAGTAATCATAGTCGCTGTCGTCTAATAGGAAATTCTTGCAATTACTCTGCTTGATTTCTTGCTTTAATTAAAACTCTCTTGGCGCGGCAGGCATATATATATGCGGGCGCACGCATAAGCCTTCTCCGCAGAAGGCATATATTATATATGCCCGTTTTGTCAGGAGCGCGAGCGCTCCACATTACCGACTATTTCTCTCGCTACTCACCTCTTTCTGTTTCATGATCTCTTCGTCTGCCAACGGACGACACACCCCTTGCATTACCTCATCGTTTTTCACGCTAAAACGCGCGCGAGCGAAAGTGGGCGGCTGCTTTTACAGCTGCTGAATATTCATAGTGTGCGCAAAGACAGACGGATATGCATTGCTCTCGACTAGACTACGAACCAGCCCCTCCCCCGTTTTCCTGCGAGTCTTCTCCATATCTAGCCCCTCCCCTGTGCTCCTGGAAGCAATGGCTACTAGAGCAACTCTCTCAGTGGATGATGTTCTTGATGAATTGGATGGAAATGCAGAGTATGAAAGTGATAGTGAGGATGACTTTGACGGCTATGTAGACACTAGAGAGAGAACAGAAGAAGTGCAGCCAGAAGTGGAGGAACAGATGGAGGAAGAGATGGATGTTGGGGCTAATGTAGAGGTTGGTTCCCAGAGCAGCAGTGATGATGGCGACACACTCCCCGAATATACACTCCAGCCTGGTTGTGCAGTTCCTGTGGAAGGAAACAGACCAATCCACTACTTTTCGCTGCTTGTCACAGAAGACATGCTGCAGAACACAGTCACCCGGACAAACCTTCATGCACAACAGTACATCGCGAACAACGATATCCCTCCTCACTCCAGAGTGCGTCGCTGGTCCAAGAGTGTGTTTGACGTCAATGAGCTGGAAATTCTTCGCCATCATCATTCTCATGGGCCTTGTGAGGTACCCTCAAATCGAGAGCCACTGGGCAGTCCTCTGGCCATTCACCAATACTCACTGTTCCAGTGTAAGTGCAGCACACAACCCTAGAGAATATGGTATAATGTAAAATTCAAGTTAGCTATGTCTCAATCCACCACAGATCATGAAGAGAGACCGGTTCACCCTAATTCTTAGTTTCCTCCATCTCAACGACAACCGAAACTACAAGAAAAGGGGAGAGCCTGGTCATGATCCACTCTTCAAGCTCCGCCCTTTCCTTCAGCCCCTCATTGCCAATCGCTTTGGCGCGCGGTTACGTAATTATTACGCGTGCCACC